GCCGTCCATGGCTTGATGAATATGATGTGGTGAGCGATTATGCAGATATCATGTACTGTAAATTGTTCGTTTGATAGACCAGGCCCTTGGACGATGCTTCACAGCATCTGGCAGGCTGAGTATCACTTAATTAATGATTTGATCAGTGCTGCTGTCTAGTAATCTGTTGCAGCTACCCAATAAAGCTGACAGAAACCTTTTCATCGCCTGTCAACTTAGTGTGGTGATACGAACAAAGGTGGATGAAGGTTATGATTGAAGACTAGGCGTAGCCACTCTAGCTTGCGAGCATGAAGGTGTAACCATAGTGTAATCCAGGATAGCTATGTTGAATAGCCATTTATCCAAACATCAATATGGTTATTTGGGGAAGGTTGAACAGTGATCATCTTCGACAACATTTGTCTGGCCTAACCGTCTTAACGCTTAGGTTCACCTTTGAATATTCGTCAGATTATGACTGCTGTGAATGCGGTATAATAAGGTTGCATCTGTACACCACACCCTCCAACAGGCTTGAAGAAGCTGTGGGAGATCTGGACTTCTCTGGGCTTGTCACTGTTGTGGAGCATGGCGTGGTCATGCTGCTTGATCCAAGAAATTGTTACTTTTGTTAATAACCATATGATGATGAGGATGCATCGGAAGGTAGTTAGATCGATTTAAGAGAAAGAAATGTAGTATCGGAGGGTGCAACAGTAGCATCCTGAAAGAATTGAAAGATGAGGAAGACCTGAAATGAGTCCCACATTGATGAACTGCTCGAGATCTGCGTTGTCACCTGACTATTGGCACGCCCTGGCCCTCGCTATTCAATTTCTTGCACTGGCTCATCGGAGCTTTCCTCGATCGCAGATAATAAGGGTGTTTAATGTTGGGACGATCCTAGTGAGACTAGATACAATCCAAGCATTCGACACTAAGTGCGGATTTCGTTCAACGCCACGGGATTCAGGTACGTAGTCGGCTGAACTTTCCATGCAGATTCCGTCCTTTCCATCGATATCTACGAGTAAGCAAGTTGTGACTGGACGTTAGAAGCCTTTTACAATCACAGGGCTGAGGTGGCCCCGTCAACGAGTTTACATAGAGATGTCCGAATTGCTACCAATATGAAGACGCAAAAACGACAACCATTCGCTAATGTATGCAACTAACATAATGCACCCTTGTTGCATTCACGGCAAAGTCCAGCCCTCAGCTAGAGGCATTAGACCAACCTTCCAGGTCCACCGTGATCGGCTTTCTTCCTGCTCTAGTGATAACCCATTCGACATCCTGGTCTGATTGGTTCATCTCCTGGTGCTCAGTGTAACTACACACAGGTTGATCCCGAGTCAGTTTGTGTCCTCGATCAAGTAGAGGCCGCACTACTTACGCAGGAATGATAGCAAAGTCACCTGGGGAGAGGTCTTTGCGCTGCTTTCCTCCATCGAATACAATAGAACCATGGCCCTTTGCGGCATAAACGATAGTATCCTGCTCACCGTGATGGTGGACAGCCGAGCAGGAATGTGGCTCGGCGCACATGACTGGCCAAAGTCGTATTAGAAAAAGGATTCTAGGTCCTGAAAGGGGCTCGACCAACCTAATGCACACAACTGATCCGACTTGTCGATAATAGCTCCCTTCCGAACCATTCCTTCAGTCCGGCCCCCTATCGTGTGTTCTGGTCATTATACCATCCTTTGTTCCCCGGAGAAAGGTTCACATACCCGTTGCCTCATCCAACTCCGAGGATCTGGTGACATCAACCTTATTATTGGTCATTTTAATACCTTTACTTGTTCAAGCAAGCACAGGATGCTTTTAACAGCCAGCTTTCTCGAAGCTGCGACACGAGCTTATAAGGGGATGATGCAACCCCACCATGCTGAATAATGCCATGACATCACCGGCTGCCGAACTACAAGAGACACATATATTGCTTCCTATCACTCGGCCGAGTACAATTCAGAATTTAAGCTTATATCCATGTCAACACAGGGGATGGTTAAAGAATTCGGTGTCAGTGGTAGCGTTGCACGCTCCAAATTGGAAGTCTAAACCTACTGAACCTGAACGCCAAGCTTTGATATGATGCTTGTTTGTACCATGTTGGACTCGCAGGAGATTATGACTCGCTCAGATGGAACTGCCAAGAACCTCGGTTCACATTGTGGGACCAAGGCAGGCACCCACCATGTGGAAGGTGATCCCACAAATACGAACAAATGCAAAAAAGTAGGTCAAGGCCCTTTCCCGGCTAGTGTGTGGCCTGAGGTGGTAGTATCTTTGTGGCTGCCTGAGGCGATAAGCATTTTATGCAACTATCTCACTGCTGAGTCAGTAGTACACACTCTCATCAGTTATGTCAACACAAATGTTTCTGTGTCCGCTTCGCAAGTGACGCCCAGAAATAGTGAGGAAGGTCAGATAGTATGATGCTCCAGAAAAGGCCACTTAGACAGACATTATATGCAGGGAGACATAGCTGTAGTAAACACAGCAACCCAGGAGTCCTCACTGGCATGGATTTGTTTCCATGCAACTGATGCTGCCCACTCATAAGGCGTGAAGAAAATCCCACTTCCTTAATGAGAAGCAAAACAAAATATATCATGCTAGGTGGAGTATCAAGAGATCTGGGACTGCAACTTACGCTTGATGTTGGTATGGTTAGAGCCAGCCAATCCTCATGGAAACTTCGGCAAACACATGGTGAATGAGAGGTGAAGCTGCACTATTCTGACAGCAGTGTTACTGGCAAGCATACTTTCCGCGAACTAGCAAGATTTGGAATTACTTCATGAGCAGATGACAGTGAATGCGTGTATAGTCCTCATAGTTGAGGACTAAACTTCTTAGTTCAGATTCTGCTCGCCACTACTCCCATCTTCCCTACACCTTCTTCTACGCATTCTAATATAGCATCAATTTCGTCAAAGTACTCCCTATGGTTCATTCAGAGTTCACCTTCCATCATGAGCAAACGCAGGCCTCCGCCTGCCACCACAAAACGTAAAGGGACACCCGCAGAAGACGGTGGTGATAAAAAGATAAAGCTTGGTCAGACAGTGTACCCCCTCGACGGGCCTGGATCTAAGGAAAGTCGGCACGCTCTGTGACAAAATCGCTAACACATGAACCTCTTAGAATCCATACCCAGTGGAGCTTTTACGAACATCCTCCAAACCGATGTCGTTGTACTTAGCACAAAGGGCTCTGACTTGGAATTCAGAATCCACACGGGGCTCTTAAAGTCTAAGTGTTCTGCTCTCTACAAATCTCACATAGAAAAAGCAGTAGACGATTACATCTGCATGGATACAGAGGCCAGCACACTCTGCTCTTGTCGGTGGGTATATACAGGAGAATACCCCGAAAAGGCGGACCTTGAGAAGAGCGACATCAAATGCGCATCCAACCATGAAGAATCCGTCGAATGCAAGATAGCCGATTCGGTCTCCGACAACATCCAGCTCTACGTGTTTTGCGATAGACATGGTATCCCGGAATTAGCAAGCCTTGCAATCACACAGATGAAGAAGATCGTGTCTAGGATGGGCGATAGTCGGATACATGTGTCGGGGGCTTTGATACCGGCTGTACGGTTCGCTCTTTCCAAGCTCAAGGACAACGACCCATTGTTCGCCTATCTTGCACATTTCGCAGCCGACCACATCGAGATCCTCAGATGCAGTGGCATCTTTTGCACGCTACTAAGCGACCATCCCAACTTTGCATTCAGCATTCTTCACTATGCAGGGCCCGCAAAAAGGAAGCCAGAGTAAGCTTTGAATCTGAAGGCCCCTGGCATCTTTGTACTTGTAATAAAGACCGGGCGTTGTTGGACAGGGAAACTGTGTCGAGATTGAGTTTTACACGGATCGATCACATAGTGATTACCCCCAAACGACCCGGATGATCATCTGCATGTATTTCAATTGAGTCTAATCTAGTCCAATAATAAAGGTACAACCCTCTTGCTACCAAATATCCCCTCTTCGATGTCCACCACAAGCGAAGCCCACCTCAAAACATCACCCAAACGCGCAAGCCGTAGAAAAAAACAATTACTTCCCGACTACTATGGTGAACCCCCTCCCTCCCCACCGACACATTCAAAAATTGGCCCTCATTGAGCTCTATATTTAAACCCTAGTTTAATATAACTAAAATACACTAGATAGATTCCTCTCCCGCCCCCAAATCAATCCTAGCCAATAACAAAAAGTACGCATTTTAGTGTCGGACACGGATCCGTGTCCGGATCCGGAATCGGGAAGCTTCGGAACACCATCGGGGTAAGCTCGGGAGTATATTCCGATCCTTACGGTGGGCAGATCCGAAGTAATCATTTCTGATTAGGGAAAATTGTTTACCTGCTGTAGCAGGGGATGGCGTATTGTAAAGTAGCATGTTTCAATTGAATGGTCACCGATATTCTTATGCGAGGCGCCCGTAGATCGAGGTGCTTACAGAAAGTTTATCTCAATCATATCAATCATGAAGATCACCTATTGTATCGTACCATTACTATGTCCTAACTCGATACATTACCAGCCTAACCATGCAATACTGGAATCTTGCGTCCCTGCATGCTTGCCTCTCCTTACATGCATTGGTATGCGAGACTGGGTTTCTTGGCATCGATGTTTCCCCATGATTGGAAAAGAGCGGGTCGGCGAAGACATACATGTACACAAGCATTTTACAGAGATCATCCGGACCCGAGGATAAGGGTCAATATATGCAAGGCATGAGATATCTGTGTTATTTGTGAGTTTGATGTCATTGTGCATGGAACAGGTTGTGTGGGGATGTGGCGATCTCGCCTTTGTAGGGGGTGAGTTCAGCAAACTAACAGAGTACGTACGTAGTGCGAGGGAGTGATTTGCTACGGTATTGCTTATTACAAGTAAAGATGCCATCGTTAGACACGCAGTGTGGTAATACATAGGGAATCTTCACTCTTGAGGGCCTGTTATCCCCTGAGTGATATGTACGTTGATGTCGTGGTTATGACGGCCTTACCTGATGGAGAGTGGAGTACGGATCGAGAAAGATGTAACCAGAGGTTATCTGCTAGCAGCTGTCTATACTATGTAGTACAGACATCACATTCAGCGTGATGCTGCTCGATAGCCTCCTGGATAGTACCATTGAGTGGCATATCGCTCAACTTATAATCAACGCGTTCCATCACTTTGGAGATGTGAATCAGCCTTCACGTCTTGGCTCTGCCAGAGAAGTTTATTGAGAAGGCATTTTGCGACAGCTGCTTGTGCGGACTCATTCAAATAAACCAGGTTTTGGGCCACCTTCGTGATGAAGCTGCGAGCTGAGGGGCTGAGCAGGAGATTGAAATGATCCTCCATCAGAAACTCATATAGCTCCTGCGAAGAGCGTTTCCATATACTCTTGCTCTTAGACAGAGCTTCGTTTAATACTGGCAATTTGGCGCTGAAGGAGCGACCAAGTTCCGGCGATGATGAGTAGAGTGACTCTTGAAATATCACGGCAAGTATGAACAAGCAGAGGAGTGTATGATCTTGGACATGGGGCGATGCGTTTGCCGTTAAGTTTGAGGAACTCGCCAGAAATATTATCGTTTCATGGATATCAGGGTAGGCGATCAGCCCTTGGGAGGCCTTTGGGTTAACCTGGTGTAGTCGAAGTTCGATTGCTGGATGCACGGTGGCGGGGACAAAGTACTCTGTGATTTCCCAGACATGCGCTGGGGAGGAATTTCTTGACGGCTCTGCCAGAGAAAACGCCCTATGCAATCAAGATATTGATTAGCACACAAAGGCTGTAGGTATCAGTATGAACATCATGATCACTCACAGGAAGAGAACCATATGAAGACGCCAACTTGACCGAAAATTTTCTACCCCACCCCTTGCATTAATCACGCTGACAAGGCCGTTTTTATGGGCACGCCATTGGTCATCGATGGCCCAGTATTTCTGAATCACAGAGGAAGAACTCCGATGAGTAATTTGAATGTTATAATGGAGGCCCTATTCTGGAAATAACTCACCTCGAACATCAGGAGGCGTGCAATAGCTGTAATCGTGTCATCCTGCGTCGATCTTCTTTCATCGGCCAGCCATTTCGCGATGATGCCCACAGCCAGGGTCCTAAACTTTTCCGATTCTATCGACTTTGTCTGGCCTTGACGGTGTGCGACATGGGCTGCCGCATGAGCCATCAATGCACAAAACGAGGCACTATTCGATAGATCCAAAGGTAACCAGAGATCACGTACAGGGTCGAACCCAGTACTTTGTGACAAGCCGGGGCCAAAGCTAGCATGTAAATCGAGCCCTGTATAGATTTCAACATCAGTTGTCTGGAGAGTATCAGGATTCTCTGTATTCAACTCACATGAAGAGAAGATTTCTTGGTCTTTGGCCGACAGATCTATCGGGAACTTGGGGCCTGGCCCTTGAATAATCGAGGACTGATGCCCGTGATCGACGTCTGAAGCTGGAGATTTCGCGTAGGCGGAGCCTTGTTGACCTTCACCCTCTGGTGGATCGCGGGTCTGACCCTGTGATGCATCCTGCTGATACCCTCTGCTCTCTGAGCTATAGTCCTTCGGAAGTAGTGTCCTAAGCTGAGGTCGAGTGGTCTGGGGGGAACTTTGGAGGGCCTGGTGCCTCCTCCTCCAGAACTGTCGCATCGCATGGCTGCGGGCGCCTGGCTGGTCTGTACCGAATACAAACTGGTACTCGGTTGTTGTTGAATCCGAGTCTTGGTCTTCACTCATGGTGGCGCTATCGATGGGTATCTAGGTCATGCCGTGTGGAGCTGATAACGGGTGGCTGTAAGAACCAGATAAATCTAGGAGGAGGCTGTTTCCGAAGGTCGCTTTCCCGGCATAATCGAGGTTGATAGGTGACTGGGAGTTGGCTTGATGCTTTGACAAGGGGGTCGGCGGGATTAACGAATGCACGGGGTGACGTGGTTTGATCTGGATTTAACAGCAGTGAACGACACTACGTGCCCATCTCTCGTGGACCGGGGATCGGGTGCTGCCCGAATCCCTGTGCAGCTGAAACGAAAGTAAACATTATTAGGGTACCCTAAGGTACTGCTGCATGCTCTCCTGCCCTCTTTTTCCCGTAGTGGACACTGTCGTGGCTTGGGTGGCCGGGCTCAGATATGGCTGACAGCCATCCCCCGGTTATGTGGACGCGCTTAATGACCAATATTAGTGCGGGATGGACACTTACTAGTCTTTCTTGGCCGGCAGATCGTCTGAGATAGGGAAAATGAAAGGTCGAAAAGATCATATTACATGCAGCTGTTGGGGTCTCACGATCAAGCTGACCGGGAGGGGGTCCCTTTGCAGCCTTAGAGAGGGGCTTCAAGAGTTCGCACCAGTCAACCCTCACCACTCGGACTAGTCCTAAGAGCCATCCACTGGGGCTCTGATTGGCCGAATACTGTTACCCTATTGGGTAATGGGATCTGGGTCCAGTAGACGGTCCGGTCCCGGATGCTTTTTGTACCTCCAGTGCCATTGCGTTGGGCCCTACCAGATCCAGGTGTAAACTTCAACTGGGTCCCATGAGTCCGGCTCCGTAGATCATCTTGTCTCGGGCAGCATTTGGTATGTATAAGGACCGTGTGCTTGAATGTCTGACGCAGTGGTCAAGGAGTATATGGCTGGAGAAGCATGGGCTTTGGAAGAATTTGGGGTCTAGCGGTACCACGATTGTGTTCCATGCGCTTCCGTGGTCGCTATCTAGTTAGCAAAGGGCTGTATATGTACGCGAAAGAGCTATGTCTCACCAACCCAAGGCGAACCAAGGTCACACTGCTCGTCCCCCAAATTCCCCTGGCGGAAATAGTATCCGTAGCCCGAGATATTTGTTGTTGCTATCCTTCCCACATGTTGTGTCGAGACTGCCGGGAAGTCGTGGCACGCGCTTACGAAGGGCGCTCTTCCCTTTCAAGTCCAACTAGGTCAGAGCCCATGTACGTATCTGTTATGTATTGGTTACTTAATCGCGATCATGTTCCGCCATTCCAGGGTTCCACGGAAGGCCTTTTATGTTGCAAAGAGTACGAGACTTGACCGAGGGAACCCCGACTGCTTTCCGACACAGTCCCACCTTTTTCTTCTCTTTCCAGCATGCCAGGATGCTATTCAGCTCTCATCAACAAACTTCCCTGCGTCGTAAACACTTTGAAAATGTTCCCTTCCATCGACAATGGTCTTTTGCGGTGGAGACCATGGTATGCTAAAACGCATGAGCCTAAATGATTAGACTCCGAGCTATAGACAGCCCATCGCCAATAGCCGGAGATGGTGCACTGGCTACTCGGTTGGAATCGTACTAGGGAGCTCGCTTAATCTAACCTGCGCCATTATTCCGATTTCCTCCAATTGCACGATTTATTGCGTGATTATGTGGCTGGGCGAATGTCCGATCGAAATGAGCTAACTCTTTGGCCCTAATTATATCTGCTGGCCTCTCATGAGCTGTCATATTTCAACCTTAATTGTTTCAACAATACCAGGGTCTTGTTATGGTTACTGCTCTTGCCCAAGCCCATCCGGCATGGGTCTTTTGCAAAAAGATTTCCATGCACCCAGTCTATTGTGATCCATGTTTCAATGTGTATAAATGGTCTTCACATAACTTCTTGCAGAAGCTGTCTCAGAATCAATACAGAAAGAAAAAGACCTCAAAAAGACAAGAAAGGAGGGATCCCGTCTGATTCAGAGATTTTCTGCAGCTGGTTTCGTTGTGCCACCGCCGTGTCATCAGTGGAACTTCAAGGCCCTAGACCCATGGTTCGCAAAGCCACTAGTTGTAGTCGTGGGACCTGCCTGTCATGGAAAAGGGTTCCGCTTATTTCAGCTTCTCCAAATACCTCTTTGTCTAGTACTGGTATTATTGAGTTGCGTCAGATGATAAAACCTTCATACCCGAGAAAATTGACTCTGGAAGGATGCACATCACTTCGATTTGGATCCGCCTATCTCGAGTATCTAGTAAAACCCACTTCAACGAAGATCGACTCGCACGACAGACAAACAGTCAAACCCCAATAACGGCAGCAGCTTCGTCTTAGCATCTGCGAGAGAGTCCCTTGCGTTCCTCCGCCAAATCAGGCCCCATAATGCCCAAGCACTAATAATTGTCTGCAATCATACCAGCAAAGCCCAATCCGGTTAAACATCGGTACCAGCGCGAAGATCATGTCGGTTATTCTCGTCTCCAACATCTCCAGTCCCACCTCGCTTATCACCTCCATATCTATCCCCTAGATCAACCGAGCACATATGAGTTCTGCTGCACCGACAGAACTGCGGATCTGGCCGTCGGACCTGTCACTTGAGCTTGCCCCGCAGTCCTGTTGGGGGCTTCTTGCACATTGTAATTTGGGCGCTTACCGTGTTGTCCCTTGGAGTCATCAGGCCCGAAAATATGCAACCACGAAATCAATCAAACCACGTGGGATGCTCACGGACACTCACTTCCGAGTAACTGGCAAGCTCCAAAGTGGATTCCTTTCCCTCGACTTGGCAGACTCTATCTCAGTCGTCCCATGCTATGTTTTTCACTTTGTCGAGCAGCCACCCACGTATAACGAGAGCAAAGAGCTTTCCAGGGCTTTCTAGGGTGACTCTGAAGAACGTGGATCAACGGAAACCCTTTCCCGATTAACCGTGCTTAACCTCACAGACTAGTGGTGAACTTCCTTGTGCAATTTTTACTGCAGTAGGCCTCGAGCCAAGATCCTTACTTAACAGATTTCAAATTAGATGCTAACAAGGCTTTAGAAATAGGAATAGAGAGCCATCGAACATACAATTTCCCTCGCCCTGAATTCTCAGCAACCCATACATCCACAAATATCACGAACCCCTTCACCTCTACAGTCGCGAAATATCCCTGACCTTTGCCCCTAACATCTCTCTCAAGCGACCATCGACTCTCCCAAACATATTTACCACAGCCTCCTTCAGTGGCTCAGGAACCTCAGCCAGCGTCTCAGCAAGATTTGCAACCCACTTTCGCCTTTCTGTCTCGTCAAAGACCCTATTCCAGAGGTCCCGTGGCTGAACGAAGTCTTCTTCATCCACTGGAATCTCATTCTGGCCCAACGCGAACGACAGAATCCGCTCATCGTGCCGTACCTGGACGGTATTTCGACTCACAACTCCAGAAGAAAGCGAGCTGCGCACATAGTTCGGATCACCACCATAATTCTTCGTCACTGTTGCGAAGCCATCCCTCTCAAACGGCGCGTAGACAGGACAAACAGCGCGATTGGGCGGGAGCTGAGTGTAATTGACCCCAAGGCGGTAGCGCTGAGCGTCGGGGTAGGCAAACATGCGGGCTTGTAACACTACATAAAGCCAGGGATATCAGTGCATGTTACACAACTCCGCAAGATTGGTATGCATGAACCAAGGAAGAGAGACATGGCCAACAAAACAGAAACACAATCAAGGAAACGCAAATCAGCAAGGATGCAATGCAAACTTACTAGGATCGGGCGTGCTAGCAATCCCAGGCACCATATTCGATGGCGAAAACGCCGCCTGTTCGATTTCAGCGAAGTAATTTCCGGGCTGTTTCTATGTTAACACACGAGACGCCACCCACCCCAAAGCTATGCCACCAATTAGCAAAGAGACATAACTCACATTCTTATTCAAGGTCATCTTGCCCACTTCAATGAGTGGGAACTCCTTATGCGACCAAACCTTTGTAATATCAAACAGTCCCCGTCCGAATTCTTCCGCCCTCTCAGGCTCCATAACCTGCACATACAGCTTCCAAACAGGATACTGCCCCCGTGCAATAGCATCCCACAGATCCAAGTTATGGAAGTCGGCATCCACTCCGGCCATCCGGGCGGCTTCTTGTCCGGAGAAATATTTTCCGTCGAGCTCAGGCCGGAAATGGAACTTGCAGTACCGGAAGGTGCCATCGGGGGATACGAGCTTGAAGGTGTGTACGCCGAAGCCAGTGACAGATCGAATGGAGCCTGGAATGCCTCGAGAGCCGAAGAGATGGAGCAATGCGTGGACGCTTTCGGGTTGGTTGGTGTGGAAGTCCCAGAACTGTGGTACCCCAGAAGGTGAGTTGTTTAGTATACTATGTGGTAGGTAGGATAGCAAATATATGGCCAGAGGGTGAGGGACATACCATGGTCCAATCTGGACGATTTGTGGCAGGGTGCCGTTTATGGCTTCTGTTCAGGGAGGGGAAGCGGATGGGGTCTCGGACGAAGAAGACAGGCTATTGGCATCATTTAGCACACAAGTCCTGGGAAACCTTCCTTCCAGTACATAAAGAACGGTAGGTAGGTATACATACGATATGGTTTCCCACAATATCATGGTTCCCTTCTTCGGTGAAGAACTTGACTGAAAATCCACGCACATCTCGCACAGTATCCGCACTACCCTTTTCACCACCCGTCGTGCTGAGTCGAAACAAAACGGGGGTTTTCTTTCCAATACCGTTGAGGAACTTAGCGGAGGTTAGGGAGGATACGTCGTTTGTCACTTCGAATTCTCCCCATGCGCCGGCTGCTTTCGCGTGGACGACCCTGCAGAGATTTTGTTGGTTAGATGAGGATGGACTGGAAAGGGGTCTTGATGGTGGAGGAAGGGAACAGGTACCTTTCTGGGATTCGCTCACGGTTGAAGTGAGCCAGAGTCTCGAGGAGAAGAGTGTCCCCTAGGGTTGTGATGCCTCCACCGCCAATTGTGGGCAGCGTAGTGCTCACGGAGGGGTCAGGGATGGGTTGGCCTAACAGAGTCAGAACATGGAATTGAGTGTAGGATCGAGGAAGGGACCTTCTGCCAAGGTATAAACAGGTCTGGACATGATGAAAGGTGTTTCGACAGACTACTATCGTTGAAGCTCGAATATAAAGGCTGATAATGATTCTTGAGCTTCTTGTTCTGTTTGATCAGCAGTTCCTGGTAACCCCGTATATATATTGCCAGCAGCCGCGGAGTGTGGCGTCCATGGTGAATCAGTCAACACAGACATCTTTAATCGCTCAATGCGAGTCAATTCTCCAATTCAATGCCAGAGTATCTCGGTGTACACAGTGGTGAGGGGAAGTATAAGACAAGGAATCTATTTCCGGCCAAACTGAGGAGTAATTTTGCAGCTGGTGGTGACCGAACCAATGCCGAATCCCGGACCGAGCCAATGCCGACCGGTGGCCGAGTTTCCCCCTCGCATGTGTTTCGTTTTCCCCTCAGAGGCTTTTCTTCTCCTCTCCTTGTTCTCCAATGCTGTCATTACAATGATGACCGCAGTGGATAATAGTCTCGAAGATGTCATTTGAGTAATCTGACACCGTATAACCATGGATGGGAAGAATATGGCGTGGTGATGCCAGTTGACACCTTGACAGCTGCGTCCCGTGGATGCCGCATTGCCGGTCAGGGTTCAGCTATTTTACCTTCATAGCAGAACTGTCCCTACTCAACTTGCTTTGAATCGTCCCCGCATGAGGGGTAAAAAAATATCGATCAAGCAAAACACGATCTGAAGCCTAGACCTTTGGAGATCAGATCTACACTGCCATCGCAGCTACAGTAGAACGGTGGGCCTCCCCTCACCGGGCGCTGCCGAATCCACTAAGCCCTCTCAGGCACCAAAGCTGCATGTTTTTCGACTATACGGCGATGGCTCGGATGTCGGCAGACATAGGGGAAAAAAAAGTCTCATCGACGAAAAGATTGAGGATGATGGATATAAATACACGATAGATGCATCGCTTGTTGATGCTCTCTTTCCGTCAGCATCATCACAGTTCATCTCATCGCATCTCTACTACTCTTTCCTACAATCTCTCACATAAACATCATATATCTCATCCTTTTGATTCCAATCCATCATCATGGCAATGGTATCCAACGGCAACGAATACGACTTCATCGTCGTCGGTGGTGGCACGGCAGGCAATGCAGTAGCTGGTCGCCTCGCTGAAAACCCCAATGTTCGCGTCCTGGTCGTCGAAGCCGGTATTCCCAACCCTGACCAGGTCGACGAAATCACCACTCCCTCCAAGGCCTTCAACCTCCGAGGAAGCAAGTATGACTGGGCCTACAAGACCACTATGATCAAGCGCGACGACTACGAGCGTGTCGAAAAGCCTAACACTCGTGGTAAGGCGCTGGGTGGAAGTTCTTGTGCCAATTACTTCACCTGGATTCCCGGCTCCAAGCCCACCTTTGATGACTGGGAGGCCTTTGGCGGCCACGACTGGACTTGGGACAACTGCGTCGAGTATCTCCGCAAGTGCGCAACGTATCATGATGATGAGAAGCTCTACCCGGCCGAGCTTAGCAAGATCGGAACCGGAGGCCCCGTCCAGATCGCCCATGCCGACTTGGTCCCCGAAATGCAACCCTTCCGTGACGCACTGACCCAAGCGTGGGTCTCCAAGGGCGAGAAGCTGACCGAGGATATCTACTCCGGTGAGATGCGCGGTCTTACCCACTGCGTGGACACTATCTATAACGGCCAGCGCCAAGGCAGCTTCCTCTACCTGAAGGACAAGCCTAACGTGACCATCCTCTACGGAGCCCACTCGAAGCAGCTGATCATCGACCCCGTCACTCGTGTCTGCTCCGGAGTGACCGTCGTCAGTGAAGCCTACAACACCGAGATCAGCGTCTACGCCAGCCGCGAAGTGATCCTCTCTCAGGGTGTTTTCGAGACCCCCAAGCTCCTCATGCTAAGTGGAATCGGTCCCGCCGCAGAGCTAGCCAAACACAACATCACTCCTATCGTCGAGTCTCCCCACGTCGGTCAGCATCTTCTCGACCACCCCATCGTGCCTTTTGTCCTCCGTCTTAAAGACGGCTACGGTCTGGAAGACCACATTCTCCGCCCCGGTCCCGCCAACAACGCAGCCATCGCCCAGTACAAGAAAGACAAGACCGGCCCCATCAGCTCCGGACTCTTGGAACTCGTCGGCTTCCCTCGCATCGACCAACGTCTCGAGAAATACCCCGCCTACCGCGAAGCCAAGGCGGCCAACGGCGGACTGGACCCCTTCGGCCCCGCAGGACAACCTCACTTCGAGCTCGACTTCGTCGGCATGTTCAGCACCGCCTTCCAATGGCACTATCCCGTCCCGGAAGAGGGTAACCACATGACTGTGATTGTCGATTTGCTGCGCCCCTTGTCAGAGGGCGAGGTGACGCTCAACAACTCGAACCCGTTGGTGCAACCTAACATCAACCTCAACTTCTTCGGCAATGACCTCGATATCCTGGCCATGCGCGAGGGTGTCAGATGGACCTATGATCTCCTGACCAGCGGTGCCGGCTTCAAGGATATTGTCCTGTCGGAGTACCCATGGAAGATGCCTCTTCAGTCGGATGACGAGATGAAGCGCGCTGTTTTGGATCGCAGCCAGACTGGATTCCGTAAGTCTCAACAGTACTTTGTTCCTATTAAACGCGAATACTAATGATGGTATGTTAGACCCATGCGGCACTGCCCGTCTTTCCAAGAGCATCCACCAAGGTGTCGTCGACTCGAAGCTCCGCGTGCACGGAGTGCGCAATCTCCGCATTGCAGATGCCTCCATCATCCCTGTGATTCCGGACTGTCGGATCCAGAACTCGGTGTACATGATCGGCGAAAAGGTTAGTGATCCTTTCCCTTACGGAATAATTATTCAGTGATGTGAGAACTAACGAGCATCTAGGGAGCGGATATCATCAAGGCGGACCACAAGGATCTGTACGAGTCGAAGAACATCCCGTACTTTGTTCCGAGTCGGTTGTAAGTACTTATGAGTGGCTAGGATATGGGTTTGTCTTGGGGGTTTGGGAGATTGTATCGCTGGATATTGGTGACATGCTAGCTTTTTGCACTGCTCTTTGGTCCCTGCTTCATAGATTCGTCTCGTTTTGAACCGGTATTTATGAGCATAAAACATTCTCTACTCTATAAATCTAAAATTGTAACTAATGCATAGAAAACGGGGGGGGGAAGGCATATTCACATCTGATAGAATCCCTTGAGAGCCCAAAAACCCAGCAACCTGGCCAACATCTCCATGTCAAACGGCACATATCTGATCCCCGGCGCATCTCTCAACGCTGCAACTGTATTGGAACAATCATAACGCGTCGTATTCTTATGCATCTCCAACCACGACAGTCCATCCTGCACTGTCTCCTGCAACAGCGACATCAACGGCATCAACGGGTTATCAGGACCACCCCTTTCCTGCAGCAAACGCACCCAGTCCCAATATTCCACCAGTTCAACTGGATACCCTGCCTGGTTTATAATCCGCCACGTCTCTTCAAGATCGATCGAGTCCGCCTCATCAGGAGCAACGAGGTTATACGTCTTCCCGAGATTACCATTACTGGCAGCGATATGCAGCACCGCATCACACACATAATCCGCCGACACATACTCCATGCGCTGGTTTGGTAGATGTGGAAACGCACCAACCTGGATACATCCCATGACGAACCGAGCGAAGAAATCATCAGGATTCCCACACCCCTCCTCGATATCGCCTAGAATAAACCCCGGGCGGAAAATCATAGCTGCTAGACCGTGCTCGCGCGCCCGACGCACCATCATCTCTGAGACCCATTTCGAAGCCGCATAGCCGAGCTCATATTTCAGTGCGTGGAGATGCGGCTCCAGCGGACCGTCCTCGAGGACCTTCTCTGTGCCGAGGACGTGACCTGTTGGCCCGAAGACGTCAATACTAGACATGTACATGAACGCCTTGCGGCGACCGGAGGTAGCCACTTCCATGACGTGGCGGGTTCCGAGGACATTAGCATCGTAGTGCGCGGCATATGGTTCCAGATAGTTGACTTTTGCGGCGAGGTGGAAGACCACGCTGGCCCAGTTGGTTAGCCAGGTGAACATGTCCTCGGTTAGACCGAGATGTCTCGTGGTGATGTCGCCGTTGAGGACAGTGAGTTTATGGATGCAATGTGAGGTCTTGTCCCAGAGGTTGTAGTGTTCCAGGACTGATTGGACCCTTTCGCTGGCGGAGATGCCGAATTTTCCTCGCACTAGACAGACGACTTCCTTGACAGTAGGCATTGCGAGACAGCGGCTGAGGAAGTGGGCGCCTACGAACCCTGTCGCGCCTGTGAGAAAGATGCGGCCTTCTTCGGCGGCTTGCCAATTGGGAACGGTGTGGAGATCATCGGCGGTGTGGGCGTCTGTCATCCAGCGGTCGAGGTCGTTGGGGTTGTTGTCTTGGATGGAGTTTTCGATGCGGTTGGCTAGGCCCATTAGTCGAGGGTTTTCATACAATGTGCGCATGGAGACGGTGTTTCCGAATTGCCTCCTGGTTCTGGAGATCGTAGCAGCCGCTTGAAGGGACGATCCTCGAAGAGTGGAGAAGAAATTGTCTTCGTCGTTGATCAGCTGTTGGCCGAGAACGGAGGTCCAGATCTTTCGGAGGATGTTGGTTGTGGTGGTTGGGTGTTTATTCGTTGGTAGAATTTCCTGAATCTTGGTATAGTGGGTGGTATACTGCCTCCCTAATGTCTTTCGATCAACCTTGCCATGGTCTGTTAGGGGATAGTGTGAGCATAAGACAATATCCCGCGGCACAGCATAAACTGGTGCCTTTTGCTTAATGAACTCCAGCATGTCTGTAGCTTGAATAGTACTAGCAACAGCCGGAATGAGAAATGCAACGAGAAAGGGTTCATCTTCGGCAGTTTCTGGCTGAATTTGACACACCGTCGCGGCTAGTAGCCGGTTACTACCAAGGAATGACTGCTCGATCTCGCCAAGTTCGACGCGAAAACCGCACTGCTTAACCTGCAGGTCTACACGACCGATGAACTCGAGCAAAGTTGGATCGTCGGGACGCCACTTGGCAAAGTCACCTGTTCGGTAGAGTCGGTACCCTGCTTCGTCGACGAAAAATCTATCCTCATTTTCTTTAGGACATCCGATATATCCTGCTGTCAGGCCAGGTCCGCCTATGAGTACCTCGCCGATGCTTCCGGGCTCGGTTATGATACCGAGGTTGTCATCAGCAAGGAAAAGCCTTGTATCGCCGAAGGGCGTACCGATGCTGATACTGTCGTAGCGCAAATCATCTACCGTAACTGAATGCATTGTTGACACGATCGTCGTTTCAGTGGGGCCATATGCGTTCCACAGATGTTGAGGTGGATTAGGCGATTCAAGGACAGCCTTCATGCTGGCCAAATTAGCTACTTCACCAGCAATGAGGACATGTCTCAAACCAGTAAACGCACTGGGACATGCTTGTGCAATTATCGAGAAGAGTGAAGTAGTTAGGAAAGATACAGAGAAATTTTTCCGCGCGATGAAACTCTTAGCTTCCAACGGATCCGTAATTACCGGCCGGGGTACTGTGACCAGCGTGGAGCCTGACATTAGCGCGACGAATATTTCGAAAATTGACATATCGAAGCCTGGATTGTTAAATACGCTCACACGGTCCGATGGCAGAAGCGGCGTGGCAGGACTTTTGAACATAAGGTGGAGGATGCCACTCTCTGGAATCAGAACAGCTTTTGGCTTTCCACTGGACCCTGATGTATACAGGATATGACTTCGATAATCACAGTTGGACAGACCCTCCAGTTGCACAAGCTTAACACTGGCTGTCTCCGGTCGGACTGCCTTCGTAAGTGGGTGGTATTCGCCACTGATGGGGATAATGACCATATCATTGTCAATGTCCAGTGTATGATTAGAGAGAATGTACTGCGTTCCGACATCTTTCAGGAGATTTATCAAACGACTAGTTGGAATCGAAGGCTCAAGGGGAACGCATGTCAAGCCCGCCCGGATGACGGCGAGTTGGGCAATGATAGTCTCACTGCCCGCACCTTGCAAGATACAAATGGGCTCCTCTGGAGGTAGGTCCAGAGTCTTCAGAAGGGATGCGATACGTTGGACTTCACGGTCGAGGTCTGAATACGACCATTGATGTGCTCCATCATCTATTGCCAGGGCTCCCGGATCGATAGCGACGTTATGAGAGAAAAGAGAGTCCATGACTTTGCCCGGTATGTCGGTTGTACAAAAGCCCTTTCAGACTTGGGAAAGAAGTCCAAGATCTTGAATGTGCCTGTTGGATAGCTTTAGTGAAACATCTATTTCTTTCATGCAGTCCTGCCATATTTAAAACCCATCATAACTTCATTGGTAGGTACAATCAGATGAAATCACCATGATGATTTGCCATGCGCGCATCGTGACGATTTACGAACGCCCACCATATTTCAAAGTTGACTGGAATTAGGTCCAGCCTCCCAAAACAATATCGGTGCGCACAGATCGTGGTTTCTCCAAGGCAGCTGTCCCTATAACCGTCAGTTATCAGACTGATAGGCGAGAACGATACCCCACGAGGAAGGTATGCATAAAAAAGAAAAATGATGTGGCTGAACTTTACTTGTTCGTTAATTCCGGTGACATATTGCCCTTTGTGGCTTTGTACGGAACCATGGTTGTGTTGCAGAAAATCATGAAACAGCAAGGATTGAGTTTCTCTTCCCGGAAGGAACTTGTCACATAGCGACCAACTTGGAAGCTGCATCGCAAATTCGCAAATAAATTTAACGTTGGGTTGGAAGACTGTCTTTTGCTGTGTTCCTCAAGAAGATCAGTGCAGTGACCGGTTGTTCCCTTGTGATCTTGATTACCTGCGATGGGAGCAAGCCTCACGAAAGTTTACCAATTCATATTTAGTTGAGCATCGAAAACTACTCACTACAACCAGGTTTGCAATTGTTGCGGCTCTTCCCCATAGATGCTGTTGCGGGTGATCTCTCCGTCATGAATTCCGGCCTAATGTGGCGTCAACCAGGCCTCGGGGTGGTTGATTACCCGCGGAGCATGCCTTTATTTCATGTGAGTTCAGATTGAAGTTTTCCGGGCGCCAACAGCGCCCGTTAGTATTCTTTGGTGAAAACATCCGTCGAACTATCACATTGAGAGTGAGAAACCAAAGTAGTCGGTTACGGAGAGGACCACATGCCTTTGATGTGAGGCGTGGCTGAGTCGATAAAGTGAACACACAGAAACTATGCACATAGGAAAGACTGTGAGTAATGCATAATCCGCACTATTTTTCTAAGCGCCAGTGCAAGAATAAATAGGGTTTTCCCGGCCAACGCTGTCAACAACACGGCATTTGGTGAACAAAGAAGTAGAATAATCCCCTCTGCTGCGAAGATTACACTGCTTATTCCACGAAAGTGTGAATGAGACGATGCTTCTTCATTACATGGCTGGTAAGAGCACTCTGTTGTCTGCGGCTGCACGCTATCCTATATTTTAAAGCAGGCTTCAAGATCTGTTTATTTCACTATTCATCATAGGTAATTTCCTCCATACAACATCTGCTCAAGCAAATAGTCAGGAACAGGCCAATGTACTTAAATACGCTCTTATACTCTTCTTTTTACGTCCTCGTTAGCTGTCAAACTTGTGTTCATCTTACCCAGAAGCATCATCACAAAGATTTAACCTACTTCTTCGCATCAATTAAGTCTACATTTACCATGCATGAAGCCAGCTGCCATCTGGGAATGCTTCCCCGCAAGATATTGTTGCGTCTTACTCAATGGCTGGACCCTTTATCCGTCGTTCATTTATCAAGCACTTGCAAGGATTTCAAGGCGGTCCTACGAGAGAGATATTCCTGGGCGGCAACGCAACATGCAACCACAGAATTTGAGTATTATGTTAAGTCTTGGATATCTCGCTGCCCTAGATTTTACAAAGATTTTGGCCCCCCTGGGGATATGTGCAGATTGGCCACCCCCGATGATCTCCCAATGAGAAAAATGTTGCTTCGAATTCAAGCCGTTGTTCTGAATAATCGCCAGAGAATTCTTGAGGCGTATATCAATGCAGGCGTTAACCCCAATATTGTGTCAGCAGAACACGGAATGGGGTCACTACTATTTTTAGCCGCTGTATCTAATTATTCTGATATGGTCGAATTTCTATTCGAGAAGGGGGCTGAACCCCGGCGAAGGCAGACGTCCCCGGCAGAATGGTCTATATTGGATGAGGTGGGAGTATACATCGACACGGAGAAGGCGGTAGAGGATTGGGGGAAACGATGTTATCATTCCTTGAACGCGGTGTCCTTTTTTCACACCCGGAATTGACTCGGCAACTATGTGACATGCCAAACGCCCCACATCTTCTTGAGGTTGCACTCAGGAATGGCCTGGATATCCATCACACATTGGGAGACACATGTTTGCTCCACTATGCTGCTGGAATTGACAATCAGCAACTGTTGAAGACTATAATCTCCCATGCACCAGAACAATTACACGCCCAAGCAATTCTTGATTCGATGAGATAGCCCGTCAGACACCAACCGGCCCTAGACGTAGCAATTTCTAGTGGTATCACGATGAATGTTGGGTACTTACTCGACATGGGAAGCAAGCCAACCTTCTATTCCCTAGAAGACGCAATCAGAATATGCAATACGGGACGCTGCGGGGATAGAGTGAAATGTCCATACGGAAGTGGAGGATGGATAGCATGGAAGCTTATATGGGTTCGTTATGTGCAGTTGATTGCAATCAAGCTTGATCTTGACAGCGTGGAGGCCGCTTCGACTATTGAAAAGATTTTGCGTAATGAGTCGCAGTCTGTTCAATGGGAAGATACAGAGGATGGAAGTTTATACCTGCCTGATTTATTCCGGAAGATGAGCCGGCGTAGCCAGTCGCTCTATGCGCGCAGGCTTGAGTTCAGGAGATATGAAGTGAGATTAACTGTAGCGAGAAGAAAACTTCAGGAGCTGGAGGACAACCTTGACCGGTCGAAGCCTAGTTGGTGGCAGACTTTGGATCAAAGAGTACCCAGAGATACGTCTGTCTGCCGCAAGATAATCCAGGAAATTGAGAAAGCGAAAGGACGTGACTATGTTGAAGAAAAAGTAAAAGGGCTTGAGGAGATTCTGAAACTGAGGCATGAGGCTGCCGTGGATTTGCCATAGAGACTTGCCGATATCCGCGGTTAATGAGGCAGTTTGTTTCGGGAAAACTCTCAATTGTACTTGAATCATGTCAAAAGTCTTTGAACTAAAATGATATAGACCTAGCATATGGACAGTTTACCAATGGATTTTACGGCTGTCACGTTATTTAGCTGTCTTTATTTATCGTTTCCAATATCATGTAGAATCTCTTGTGTAGATTTAGTCAATACGCGAGTAGCCTCCATCGAAGCAAACACGATAATGTCGAATAACAATGTATATCGTCTTCAATGTTATGTTTACCATCCTATACAGGCCCTCAGCTGTAAACCTCAAGGGCGCATAAGCGAGTTTCTCAATAATGTGCACCATGAAAAAGAAGACTTGTTAAGGTTAGAAGCCCAGAAACAGTGGATGTTACTCTGACAACGTACTATCGGCTAATAATGCATGTTTTCTACCTATGAATTACCGATCCGCGAATCATGATTTGCTATATTTTATGTATCCATCTTGTAATACAAGAAATCCTGATAGGTAATCGTCGATGGCGGCATCATCAAAGGCTGTATCACTTATATCGCTTTCGCGAGAGGACTACCTTGAAAACAAGGCTTTTCCAGGCAGCCTGTTACCGTCCTTGCTGAGCAATATAGGTCGTCGTATCCATGCTCTGTATCTTGACAAGTTTCATACTGTAATTTTTGAGGATGATGTGGATGAATTGAGGTATATTATTGGCTGGTGTGAAGTCGCTCTCCCAAAAGGAGATATAAAGGGAAGTGGAGATTGAGATTAGCGTAACAGATACATCAAAGAATAGCCTTTCTTTCTTGGCATTTTTTAGATGATATGAGAGGGTACAGCGAGGGATAGACGATCTTTTGAGAGAGGCGATGCTCAATTATGAACCTCCGGAAACGTCTGAACGGGTTGGGTGATGGATACTAGTATGTCATGTACACCAACCCATTATCTATCACATTTCATCAGATACAGACACTGATAGATCTGTGGTCGGCATTCTGTATGGCTTCATCATGAATTCCCTTCCTCATCAATATAAAGATACGAACAGGACTCTACCAATTGCAGTTCAATCAACAGCTCGCTAGGCCATAATCAGGTCACATCGACATCTAGCCAGGCTTTCTTGAATAATCGTAAAATGAGCCACTATACTGAGCGCTCATCAAGGGAAGCCAGACGCCGCCTCTGAGAATCATTTTTTGAAAGCCTGGACTTTCCGTACGTCAGATAACGCCAAGCCACATGTATAACAAATGTCAACGCTACGATTCAGGGACACAGGTAGATGATACAAGCCACAAGAACAAACACTTTTACACTTTAGTGTCTGTTCACGGTGTAATCTAATCTTGATAGGCGTGCAGGTAAGAATTACAGCTCTGTTAGAAGGTTGTGGGACGGGCTTTGCCAAGCATGGTTTGAGTGCTCAGACTTGCCATGAGATTGGATATCTACGCTTGTTAGGGCCCTTGTAGTACCTGTCTCTTTGTGAACCTGTTACTTCTCGTATAAGAAGGAAGAGGGATGAATTAAATATCAATAAAACATGGGAACATGCGTGAAGATATTCGCAATGAAAACAGTTACTATCATTCTGTGGTAGGACCAGTCATCTTGACTGTTGTCTTATCTTCCACAAATACATTAGCTTTAACAATAAGCTGACGATAGTCAGGAGAGATAAAACCCCCACAGAAGTATACCGCTGGATACCTCATGCTCATAATCCGGTGGCCATTGAGGTGGACACTGTCAAAGGCTTGGGAAGAATCTGCATCCATTTCTGGGTTCGACACATCGAAGACTCCTCCGAGCTCATGCAAGTTGCGAAATACTACATTATGGTCGTCCTTAGATAGTCTCACAGAGAGTTCTGCGGCACGCTGATATGCTACTGTCAGACTCCGCTCTGTAAGAGCGACTGATTTCTCGTCCGGTGAAGCTTTTAGAAGGGGCTCCAGTAGCTCATGAGACATGACTTGCTTGACCATAGTGTTGATCATGAGGTTTCGGCGGGCGATCATGCTCTTGGCGAAATTGCTTTGATCAGCACGGACGTTGGTGCTGCAAAGACGGGCTGTCTATAGGCGCCATGATTGAGCTAGAAAGCCTTCCTTGCCATCTGAAAATAACAGTAAGATATTACGGAATCGCAGCCTAACGGAGAGAAGGGTTACTTACCAGTGTCGAACTTTTTAAGTAGCTCATGAAGTCCGGTACCAAAGCGAGTAGCTCGTGGCAGAACTTCCTCATCAAACTCGGTCCCTTCTCCTGGATGAGGCACAATGTACCAAAAGGGGTTCAGAAAGAAGCATTCAAGACAGTCTTTGACAAGAAACATGGTCACGATCTCCGTTACAAATATATCACCCAGTTCAAGAGCACCAAGTATTTCATTCAAGTCAAGTTGGGCACAGTAGCCATCCAAACTCTTGACGAGATCTTTCTTATAGTTCGCGGAAAGACCGTCTAAGACGGCCGTTTCCTCATGAGCGTGGAGTCTTGCCCAATTTCTTAGGAGGGCCCAAAGACCGAAGAACTCTTTCTCATAGTAGTCATGCGATCTGCATTCCCAGCCGCTAGAATCAGCGGCCAAATACTGGTATTTGTGTAGTGCCTCAGCTGTCCAATCCTCCAGACAGTCTACCCGTTCCTTCATTCTTTGGTATTGTTCCTTCATATCCTGGCATTGCTCTTTCAGCCTGGCGGATTGCTCTGTACTGCGATGGTGTTCATCTTGCAGTAACTGATGCTTCGTTTTGAGCTTTTGATGTTTTCTTTTCTCCCTCGAGAGTTGTTTATTCGTCTTCAGATGTTGTTTGCTCATCTCTTGCTGTTGTCTGTTTATGTCGCGATAACGTCTGTTCAACTTCCGACCTTGTTTCTTTGATCTCCGATACACTTTTTGCTTGAGGTTTTGGTCCGGTTCCCTCGAAGAACCGACATAATCTGGTGGCAATTCCTCAACAGACGGAAGAAAATTTGATCGCTGTTCCTCCACGGTCTCTTCATTGTTCGTTGGCTGTTCCCCAGGAGAATGGACGTAGTCTGGTATCGGTCCCTCCGCAGACTCGTTATTGTCCGCGTGCTGTTCCTTAGTAGTGGCGATATTAGTTCATGGCTGTTCGATAGGACACTTCGTATCGGCCGGTGGCGGTTCCTTCACAGACTCGACATCATCTAACATTGGCAAGCCTTTAGATTTGATACCATGACGGACTTCTGTTTTCGAATCCTCCATGGCTCGAATTCGCTTGGATCTCCGAATTTCGACGGCGTCTAGATGTCCCTCGCCGTTTCCATTCTGTGTCCCATCCGAAACGGCTTATAGGACGAAGATGCTGATGGTCCAGGGGTAGAGGACTCCTGGATGTTAAATCTCGGGGGCCATTGGAGGGAGGACGAGATAGACAGATAGAGTCACGTGCTCAGTGTACGTACTTTTGCGTTAGCCTTTGCGTTGTGTTTTGCCTTGTTCCTTGCCATCTTGGCTGCCATTGTAGATAGAAGGTGAGATGACCACCTCTCTAACTGAGCATTGGATAAGGCGGTGGCCTTGGGTGAGGGTAGAGATAACTTGAGGATGAATGAAGGTGTGTAGAACTGTACTACCCGGGGAAAGCGGAAGGGTTGGGAAATGAGGGGAAGGTGGAAGAGCGCACAGTGGTGCACAAATGTAAGACAAAAGAGAGGCCAGACCAGAATTTGACTGCATCGATGCACAGACTGTAATTCATCCAACAGCGTTTGGCTCGATGGCACAGTCTGACATGGCGTCTCATTGTTGATCTTTTGTCTATGTGGTACAAAATTCGTCAGTTCCGGGCGCCTTTCTTTCAGCAGGCTGGGGCTGTGTTCTTTGTCAGATTGGGGCGGAACGAGAAGATGGTCTAAGAAAAAAAAAGAGTAGGGGCAGCCAAGACGGTTTGGACGCCACGGGTCTCCATCGCGGCATCAATACAAGCTCCTATAGATTGAGTGCAAGAAAGAGTGGCCTTAGTGCTTGTGTTTGCGATGGATAACGAAATGGGAACGTTGAGATCATATTGCCACTGCCCTGAATGAAGAACACACGCACTCTGTAACTCATCGAAACAGGACAAGCAATACTACAGATACTTATGCGTGTATTGTATTCAGCAAACGTAGTTCGTGCAACGAAGATGCATGAAAGGAAGAAATGCGAGCGAAGATTATGGATTACAGAAATAACTGTTGTGCTGCCATCGAATGAGTGACTAGGATTGCTTGCAGTATAACCACCGACAAGATATTCGTTTGGCGTGACCATCAAGTGAAAGTGTCTAGGGTGAGTACACCACCTTTTGTAGATGAGTAGCTGCCAGTACATCATCATATGATCCTGCACTTTGAATGGGAACTAAATGTAAACCGCGAGCCACTATATAGGGAGGTCTTCGGGATATGTCTGCGTCTGACATCCTAACACTGGGAATCGAGAACAACGCAAGAATAATTCGGTTAACTAGTACGCTTCACTGCGACAGTCTTTTATTCAGACGTAATTTTACATTCTCACAATGTCACTGAGAGTAGCAGAAGATGGAAAAATCATGGTCGGTGTCGACTTCGGCACGACCTCCACTGGCACGTTATTCTTTCCAAAAATGCCATTCTCTTCTGAAATATAACACTTTGCTGACACGCAATACTCACAGGCGTATCCTACTCCTTGAGGGGCCTTGAAGTGCGAGGAGGGGAAGATAATGATCACCTCATTTATGAGTGGCCCGCTGCCAATTCCAGGAAAATAACTGCAACTAAAGTCGCCTCGATCGTCCAGTACGAGCATAAAACCGAGGACGGTATCGAGAAACTAGTGGCGACCCGATGGGGGGCCCAGGTACTGGCGAGCAAGGAAAACTGTTCATCTCTTTTCAAACCATTGCTTGAACCTAACTTAGATCGAGATCATGATCCTTATGCGTTTTGGAATTCCACAGTCGGTCACGGGTATTCTTTCTTACCGGAAGCCAAGGAGCCCTCGGATGTTATGAAAGACTACCTGGATTGTGTTTGGCAGTATTCAAGGAAAACTATTTTTAAAAATACCCGCCAAAGGCCTTCCTATCACCCGGTACCCTACACTATCACTGTACCGGAAATCTGGGCTAGGGAAACCCGCAAGGCGCTGGAACAGATCGTCAAGGATGCCGGGCTAGCATTGTGAACAAATGACATACTGACTATGATTCCGGAGCCCATAGCGGCAGCAGTGGATATCTTTAGAAAGAAGGCGGATACATTCCAGGTACGCTATGGTAGATCCCACTGCTATGATCTCGGTAATGATAGTTGACAATTGATCAATAAATTAGGGTGACGACGTCATGCTCATGTGATATCGGCGGAGGAACGATCGTGAGTTTTAACCCTACTTTCGTTCTATCATTTTTTACTATGTTTGGTGCCCCTGTGGTTATAATTCGTGCCTGAAATCCTGGCAAACATAGGATGTAGGATCGGTTTTTATCCGTCAAACTGAGTTTGGCCGCTATATTCGGCAGCTCGAGCCAACCCGAGGTATTCCCATTTTGCATAACTCATTACCAACGAAGCTAATCCATCATACCAGAGGACCTTGGCATGTTACCAGTGGAGGCGGCTTTCTACAGAACAATGTTTGAGAGGTTTGGGGACGCTTTCAAAAATCAGGACACGGAGTCCATAGGTCCAAGTAGTGTGCTTTGAGAGATTCGCCCCCGAAAACCTAGAGGAGCACGGCTGGGAATGCCGTTTGCCGTTCTGGTCACTACTATCGGCTAATAACCTGGACTTTTACGACCGTCGCCGGAAGGAAATAATCCTGTCCGCTCGAGACATACAAGTGTTTCTCGACCCTGTCATTGATATGGCTGTGAGTCTGGTCAGCGAACAGCACCATACTGTAGCCACAGCCGGCTTTGGTGGTAACAAGCAGGCAAGTATTTCCTGGAGTCAAGGCAGGAAACACAATGGAGACAATCGTAATTGACAATGGACGTAGCATGTTTACTTGGTCGGAGGTGGGGCAGAAAATGCCTACATCTTACGGTCAGTCAAGCAGAGGATAAAGGATAAACATGCGCTAGATGTCTACACTCCTGACAAGCCGTACGTTGACTAATTATTTGACAATGTTGGTGGAGATTGTAACTAATGTTTGTTAGGCAACTGGCCGTCGTCAATGGAGCGGGAGTTTACGGCCTCGATGATGTGCTAACCATCCACAAATGTCCCCAGCATATCGGGATTGAATGTGCCCAGCGGTATGACGCAGACAGACATGGTCAGCCACGACCAGAGCTCCTTACACAAGACCCTGTGGACGGTAGAAACGTGGTGACCGGGCCGGCGATCTGGGTGTTCGATATAGTAACTACAATCACTCGCGTTTCAACTTTGGTACGTGTCTGCTAATGATGTGATGAACAAAGGGGAGGACATATCATTAAGGTGCAGTGGAAACAGAAAATGATACGGAATACTTTCTTGACTCCACGGCCACCGACTTTTGCGACAGGTAAGTCTCCCTTTTTTTCCTTTCCTTTCCTTTCCTTTCCTTTCCTTTCCTTTCCTTTCCTTTCCTTTCCTTTTCTTTCTTTCTTTCTTTCTTTCTTTCTTTCTATCTTTCTATCTATTTTACCACAGAGGTAAGACGGGACGACAGCTTACTGTAGGCTTATTCAGGATCCGAATGTAGCTCATCTGCCTGTGGCTTTGGCTTGCGGTTATTGAGTAAATGCGCACTGCTTTTTTCCTCCGTGTTTACGATAGTCGTTGAGTGTTCTGTAATGAGACATAGCTATCCCTGTGTCGGGGTCATCCCATGGGGTGGCAGTGTAATTTACTTCCTCCACCATAGCAACATACTACACAGGGCGTTCAGTTAACAACACCAGACTTTTGTTATGACCACGCCATATAATGTCCCCGAGGGGGCCATCTTTGAGGCCCTCGACGAGTCGAAATAACGGACTCGAGACCCCAGACTTATAAATCACGTGATTTGCCGACATCCCAGATCGTCCACATCCCGATCCTTCCTTCTATTGGCTGGCGTGCTGCCGGATGTCCCCGGAACCGCAAAACCAAAGCAGCAGCCCTGAAGTGAACGAACCCCTGCAACGATTTCCCTCAGCCGTTCCAATTAAGCGGGGACTTGATCTGACAAGCAATTGACAGGAGATCGATCATCCAGCACATCCGCTCCATGACAATCTCTTCTCGTTCCTGTTGTCTGGTGATGGGATCGAATTACTGATCAGGTTTTTCCCTCCCTGTCCACCCTGCAGCCTGCGGGGTACCGATGATGGGGAGGGTGGCGGCAAAAAGACCCTACCAGTCGCAGTCTAGACTAATTGAGGGCGAAGCCTCCTTCAACTATGGATAGTGAGCTCTCCAGGGCCGGCCCGGAAGATGACAGGATGCCAGGCAATTGGTTGCAAAGAGGCGGTCTGGCCAATGCATCTCCCCATCCCTGCCGAATGAACTGTGCGCCCCAATCACTGGCCTTCACAGCGGATTGCCGCCTAAAATGCACGGATACCTGCTGCTTCAACTTTTCACAATCACCACCACCACCACCACCTCTTTTCATTCACAACGCACTTGACTACACCGGGCTGACCTGGATGGGCACGGTCCTCCTCTCTGGGTGCTGGCTGCACTTTTATCCTCTCACTCATGCAATTCATCGCTTAATGCAGCCCTGTTTTTCCGTGCAAGTAAGAAGAAGATCAAGGGGATAGATGAGAGGGGAATGGAAAGCGCATCATGTGAAAGTCGTCGAGAAAGAATACTATTTAAGCCTCCAGTAACATATCTAAGTCTACAAGATGAATCTCCTACTCCGCTGTCCAAGATCACCAGACATCCCGACTAGGGAATTAGTGGAGCACGTGTGGTAAATTCTAGAACCCCAAGGCAAAAGGGGGCGGCCGCCGCACAAAAAGCCCGGCCTGTGATGCCCTTGGAGACTTTTCTCCTTTCTCTCATTTTTCTCGTCAACCATGCGCTGTGAGTGTGTTTGTATTTCACGGGTATTGTGTGCATAGTACCGGCCATTGCAGTGGTGTGGTGATCCATGCTCTGCTACTAAGCACCCCGGCCAGTTTCACCAGCAACAGAGTGTCAGACTCGGTGCAACGCTCTAGCTGACCACGCATCGTAAGCTGCTTTGGTTTTCAGGGTCTGCAGCTGACCGTGGTCTTCGTCACGCCGCTCCGACAAATGCTGTCTAAACTGCTCTACAACATTCAGGAGCTCCCGCCTGACCATCGCGTTATCGCGGGACAGCGGCACCGACGCTTGCTCTATTACGTAGCCCATCTGGCATCATGGACCTTCAACCTTTATCTCGTTCTTCGACTGGCTCTGGGTTTCTCTGCCGTGCGACAGGATTGGCGAGTATGGCTAACTCTGTTGGTCGAGATCGTCCTCACGAGTATGTCTATACCACCGTGAGCTGCCGTGTTTCGGCATCCCGGCTCCCTTCCTGAGCAAACGAGAACGCGCAAGCTAATATATTGTCAGACATTTGGCGCCAAGATCAACTTCTTACCATATTAGGTGGCTCGGCATCAGATGGCCAACCACGCAAAAGACTGCGATTACATGGCACCGATGATCTACCGCGGGTGGACATTCTGGTGCCATGCTGTGGAGAGCCAGTCGACGTCATCCTGGACACCGTGCGCGCTGCCTGTACGATGGACTACCCAACTTCCAGCTTCCGGGTCCGCGTACTGGACGACGGTGCTTCCACAGAGCTCGAGTCTGCCATTGCATCAATGCGCACCGAATGGCCTCACCTCTTCTACCACACCCGGGGAAGGCAATCCGGTAAAGTCTTCGCCAAGGCTGGTAACATGAATTACGCCCTCTACACCCTGCAGGAGAAGGCGCCACCTGAGTTCTGTGCCATCTTCGATGCAGACTCCATCCCCATGCCTCACTTTCTGAGGGCGACGTTGCCCCATCTCCTCCAGACCCCGGAAGCAGTGCTCCTCACCACCCGGCAGTACTTTTACAATCTCCCATCAGGTGACTCCCTGTCTCAGTCACGCCTCCATTTCTACACATGTGAAAATGCAGAGCTCGATCGTCGGGGCCTTGCTCAGGATGCAGGCTCTGGGGCCCTTTTCCGGCGACAAGCCATCATCGATGCCGGCGGATATCCGACGTACTCCTTTTCCGAGGATTGGCAGCTATCGCTTGTTCTGAAGGGTCTAGGTCACCGCACCATCCAAGTCCAGGAGCCACTACAGTACGGATTGGTTCCGACGTCGTTGGATGGACACATTGCACAGCGCAACCGGTGGCACATTGGCCACTCCCAACAGCTTCGGGCGCTGATGCCGCCCACAAACAAGACGCTTCCCCGCAAACTGCAGTGGACTATTGCATGGAATGGCGTCTTCATCATGGCTGGGGCACTTGGCTGTTTGATCACGTTTGCGATGGTTCCATTGCTCCTGGTGTCGGGTCACCTGGTCCCAGACGTTTCGCCACTGCTGGCCAAAACACAGTTTTTCTTGGCTGTTCTCCATATTGCCTTGACTTGGGCGTATGGACTTTTGCAAAGCGCACATACAGGGTTTGAAAGCTTTCCGTTCTCTCGTTTTGAAAATATCTGGCTGGCTGGAGGTAAGCTACACATCGTTTGTTCTTGTTATTCTGCTTTACACCCGCGTATCGTCGTTGCCCGTTCTATTATGCTCATGAAGGGGGCCTGGACTTCAATCCCACTACTTTGTCTTAACATTATCCCCACATTGCATCCCTCCATGAAGACGGAAGCTCTCTCTTGCCTTCCACTATGGTTCAAGACATAACTAACAACAACAGCACACATCCACGCTGTCGCTCGATTCCACCTTCTAGCCAGCCGACCAAAAGGCTCCTTCGTGACTGGCAGCAGCGCCAACTCATGGAATCGCAGCGCGACCCCGACATCCCTACAAAAGCTCTACCACAATCTGTGGCATAACGGGATCGCATACAGCCTCGTGATTTTGCTTGCCACTATTGCATCCATCCTCTACTCGATTTACTCGGCCATCACAAGCACCGACGATGGTTTGCTATCCCGCTTGCTCACCACAGTTGCCTGGCCGCCAATGCTTCACATCTGCTACCTCTCCATCGTTAGTTACTGGGCGCCCGTATCCTATCTGCTGAATCCGCCGCGGTATCCGGAGCGGAAGGCTGGATTAGCAATGTCGGAGACTGGTGTGGTGCTTCCGAGTGCGGAGGTCCAGCAAGCTGCTATGGTGCGTGGGGAAGGGCCGGTCGGGTTTTATCGACAGTGCGTGGTGCTTGTGTTCGTTCTAGGTGGGTTGTTGTTGGGTGGATTGGCGTTGTGAGTGATAGAGATGGATTGGATGCGCTGCTAGATTAGATTGTGGGTAGACGTGGTGGTGTTGGGTTGTTTAAGTATGAAAATTCGTGGTCTTTATTTATGAATGACCCATGAAAGAGTCCAATGTGAGGCAAACACAACTAGTAGGATTCGCCTGTCCTAATCCACCTTTGATACGATATACACGATCGGAACAGTAAATTTATACTTCATATATATAGTCAAAGAGCTCAATAAACTGATCTATAGATATGTTAACATTCCAATTTAATTCGACCTCAGTCAGAACCGATCTAAGCACCCATCCAGCCAGAGCATATAATACAACCTGTACAATACGATACAGTTACCATCTTAACTCGACCCATCACAATCCTCATTCAATCAATCCCTCAATCCCATCATCCCCAACAAATCTACTCCACCAACCTCTCCACAAACCTTGACTTCGCTCTCAATCTCTCCCCGAAATAATAAAACCCCAAGAGCCCCAAAACCCCCAACCCACTCACACCCCCAAGCACACTCGACCCCCTAGCCATCCCCAGATTCTTATACAAGGGAATTCCAAAATGTACGGCCCCAGCAGCCAACGTACTCCGACAGAAGTCATTGGCCGCAAACAGACTCGCCGCGTACTCGGGATATATACTGGGTATATACATGGACAGACACTGCAGGATGATGAACACTGCGCTAGCGTACATTGTCACGCCGATGATGCTGACGATCCAGTGGATGGAGGGGCGGAGGGTCCAGCCGTAGAGGAAGAGGGAGATAGGGACGAGGAAGGTAGCTGGGATGGCGGGGATGAGGTGTCGTTCGTGTTTTGTAGGGGGTGTAGGTGTTGGGGTGGATTTTGGGGAAGTGTGGTTATGGTGTTTGCGGAGGTAGTTTGGGAGGGAGAGGTATATGAAGTAGGCTGCTACTGCGAGGAGGCAGCCTACGAGGACGGAGAGGTAGAATAAGCTGAGGGTTGTGGTGGATACATTATAGACAGGTGGGTAACCGATGGGGAAGGCGTCGAAGAAGGTATAATACGTGCCGTAGATGAAGGAGGTGTAGATGTTGGCGAAGAGAATGGCAGGGTCTTGGAGGGTGATTTGGACTGGTTTGACAAGGTAGAATTTCAGCTTGGCGAGGGGGTTGTCACTTTCACTACTAGTATTGTTGTTGTTCTGGTTGTTGCTGGTATTGAACGCACTGCTGCGGTATCGTATGGTAGGGGCGTAAGTTTCAGGCAGGAGGAACAGCAGGATGCATACCGGGCCGGACATACAGGCGAGGAGCCACATGGTCCATTTCCAGGAAATGTTGTTGACCAGGCTGTTGGTGAGCAGGGGTCCGAGAGCCGGGCCGCAGTACGCTGCAGCTACCCATAGAGCGAGGGCGTAGGGGAACTGGGACTCGGGGTATAGGTCGTGCATGGAGGCGCCGCCATTGGCGAGGCACGGGCTGCCGAAAAGACCCTGCATGAAGCGAAGGAAGACGAATGCGCTGTAGTTGGATACTTCGGCGGCTCCGATCGTGACGAGGATGAATGCTACGAATGTACCGAAGTAGACGACCGAGCGTCCGATTCGGGGAATCTCGCTGAGCGGGCCCCAGAGGAGGGGTCCGACACCGTCTGTTGAAGTGAGTATAGGGTTATGGGGTAGCATTGCATGGGGTGAGGCGTACACCCGAGCACGTAGATGGACAGCCCTAACATGGCGCGTTGCTCGGAGAGGTGCAGCTCGTGCATCACCAATGGAACGGCGGTAATGAACATGGATGACCCAGAATACACCACGAAGCTGTACTTTTAGATAGGTACTTTTGTTCGAGGCGTGATTGGGCGGACTTACGTGTAGATGTATACTACGAGGGATGTGATGACTCTCTTTGCGAGAGGCCAGTTATGTGGATTCTCACGACTTGTTGCCCAGTCCTCGACTGTAAGTGTCTTTTCTGAGTCGGTTGAGTGTTTTCGCCGGTGGGTATGTCCGTCGATCTGCTTGGGTGTCTCTTGTCTCACATGGTTCTCTGTATGATCAGGATTATCAGGTCTATGCAAAAAGGACCTCACAAAGACAATGCAAGGTATATCTAGCGACATGGTGATGATTATTCACAGAACAAATAGTAGGTGGGGTAAAGAGACAGTCAGGTACGCAATGCGGCGATACTGGAAATATAAAGTACCCGAAGATACATTTTATCGCCACGTCCGAGGTACAAGCACGCTTCACAAAACTCAATCCAAGAAAGTTGTGTAGCTTACCATTGAGACACGGCATGGTCCACGTATCGGAATGCGGTATGACATGTGTCATTCCTGATGTGGTAATCGACCACCTGGCCGGAACAGTGCAACTGACCCTGGAACAATGAAGTCTATACAAGGTTTGCTGCATCATGTTGAGGAATGTGGGTCTCTGTCAGTGTGACCGGTTCACCTCGTTGTTAGTCTCGCAACACCTTCCACGGCAGTGGCACAGTGGCCTCGGATGCTTGCATGCGCATTGACAGGGCTAGGAAGCTTAGCAGAACGACGTCTCTTGCCGGATCTTACCTAGAGGGCGCTCGGCCCTTTGCTGATATATTTTGGGTGAAGATTTGCGGCCCCAGACTGAGATCTGCTTTATGAAATAGTCTTCTCAGAATGCAGATCATCTTCTCCCTTGTTTTAGCGGTAACGACCCTGCTGAACAGCCAAAGCCTGGAGTGCTCGAATACCTCATCACCAGTGGCGACCGACTCTCTGAAGAAGTATGGTGTGGTCACTGCGTCCTCAGTCTACCGAGTGTATTACCTCGTAGTGGGCCTTTTTCACGCTATACTCGTCACTCTTCCACAAACACAGCAGCAAGCGCTTTGCCCGAATTTAGAGCATGCCCGACACGATCACCTTGCTCTCACTTGCAGAACCACAACTGCTCTCGCATTGATCTGCCTCGGTAGTTGCATTCGTATCTTCGCCTTCTGGCAACTAGGCTCATGCTTCACGTTCTCTCTCTCAAAGCCTGATCGTCTTGTCACTACGGGTATCTATCGCCACGTTCGTCATCCAGCATACGCTGGATTAGCCATCCAGGCCTCTGCAGCGTTGTATTTCTGGGCAAGAGAGGATGGTGTACTTGCATGTTTAATGCCAGATCTACCACTTTGGCACGTAGTGACCATTATACATTGGTGGTTCTGGGCTATATGCCTGCCGACGATCGGATGGGTACGAATCAAGGAAGAGGAGGAACTGCTAGAGAAGACGTTTGGTCAACAGTGGAAGGAGTATCGTCACACAACACGCATGTTGGTGCCGTTCCTCTTCTAAGTAGGGATAGGCGGGCCCGAGTGGGTCATGCCATTTTAGAAGATAGCTTGCATATGGTACACGCAACCACCGTGTTCCTCGGGACTAGCGGTGGTCGGCTGGAAGCTCTTGCATGACAGTTTCATTATCGATGAATGTAGTTTCCTAGCTATAACTAGTCCTTGAATGTCAGAGGAACTATTACTTATCACGACTGCGATGCCGTGTTACAGTGGCACCACCGTTACAACTATCCTCAAATTTATGTCCAGTGCCAATTTAGGCAACTTCTTTGCTTTCTACCACCTACACATTGGTTGCTAATTCTTGCACATTCAATGAATTTAGAGGTTAGCATATGATACCCTGATTCAGTTTTCCTAATCAAATTGGTCTGAGAGCGCCGCTGGCAGTGGTTCTTAGGTGCTATCTCTTTCCGGCTCAATTATGGATATATATCTCGGGCTACGCGTCGCGAGATCATTGACAAAATGAACACTAAAGGAATGTTATACTGTCTTGCGGAATAATCGTGTTAGGACCGTGTCATCTATAATAGTTATGCATTTAACTGTGTTGAGCATGATGTAACGCCAAGATCGCTGGCATGCGCTCGGGAGCAGGTGGCATGTTCTGGGATTATCCCGGCCTCATAGACTGAATTTCGAGGTGTCATAACTCAACAGATCATTGGATACTAGTAGCAACCTGAGACGCCTTGACTAACAGCTACTCTACTCCCTCCCGTGCACAAGAATGTGATGCCCCAGTTTCGGTCAACGGCCGAGGGCGCTTCCGAACCATCGGAATAAGAGTGCCACTCAAACTATGGAAATAGACTCCGGCACCCGACCGAGGCGAGGCAGCTTCCGTGGTGCACAACCGTGCATTTAAATCCGAGCACAGAGACACGCTCATACCATGCTGCACCATGCGGGCTCATAGATAACCTGTTCAGAGCCGGGCCAGCAGGGTCAAATGCCGAGTGACATCACGGACACGAAAATGGTACCGCTACTCCGGACCCCAAGCTGACTTCGCTACCAAACTGCCACACCAATCATCGGGGTATTCCCGTCTCATATAGAGCAAGTGGTTGCAAGGGCACGATGATAGCACAGACAGCCATCTCCACAATCAATGCGGTCGGTTGAAGGATGATCCCCACGGCCAGCCATCGGCCGTAGCTTATCTGGCAATTCGGCTCTCTCACTGGCCGATCAATTCAAGTCGACAGAAAGATTTTGCAAATATTTTCTAGAAGCCTTCTTTATCTCGGCTAAACGACCCACAATTCTGCGGCGCCCCCGAGTTTGCCGACCGACCATCACCATTTCTGCATCCCGTTTCATCCCGATCGCGCCTCTCCAGCCCTAGACCGGGGCCTTCCGATCACAAAAACGTCCCCTTCACCACGCGATCAATTGCGTGCAATTCTTTCTTATCTTTTCCTATCTTTCTCTGACATGCTGCAGAAACAAACCACTTATCTCGATAGCAGCAGCAGCAGCAGTCATCGCACCCCCTCACCCAAACGAACCATGGTGGTCACTTATCTCCCCGAATATGAAAGCGACGAAACACATCCCCAGCACCATGGGCTCGAGCCCGCCATCCCGCCGTTCGCGGGCCGCATGGGCGGAAACCAGGATTTCGTAGTTGATAGGACGGACCCCAAGAACTCAAAGGTGCTAGAGAAGGTGCCCGACGCAGCACCGTGCATGACACTAAAAGAGATATTCGACTTGCGGGGGTTCCTGAGCGTGGATCTATGGAAGTTTGCTGTGCTAGAATGCATAGGTAATTCCCCCGCATACTCCGAAGCCCTACCCCATACCAAAGATGAGCCCCAAGTTAATAAGTGTATAATCAACAGCAAGTATGATGAACGTTTTCATCACCTGTTGGGTAACAACTCACCCACTCTCCGCAACAACATCTCCCAAAGGCCAAGCCGGCGTCTACGGAACGGTCACCTTCTTCTCCCCAGCATTCGGCGGCCTCACCAACCTCCTCCTCACTCCACTCCTCATCTACACCTTCTCCCCCTCCAGCGGTGGCCACATTAGCCCCACAATCACTCTCGCCACCTTCTTCGCCCGCATTATCACTTTCCCGCGCATGATCCTCTATCTGGCTGGCCAAACATTGGGAGGCGCACTCGCCGGCTTTGCCATGCACTCCGCGTACGGCACGCGTGAGTTTACCGTGGGAGGATGCCACATCGACTCGACCATGGTGTCCGCAACTGATGGGCTGGTCATTGAGTTTTTTGCTTGTCTGATTTTGATTTTCTTGGCGTTTGGTGTTGCCTTGGACCCCAGACAGGCCAAGGTGTTTGGTCATGCTGTTTCGCCGTGGTTGGTCGGTGTCGTGTTGGGAGTTGTTACGTGGGGAACGGCGTTTACGAGGGAGGGCTATATTGGTGCTAGTGAGTATTTCACATCTCGAAATTGAAGCACGGTGACTGACATGCTGCAGGCGTTAATCCAGCGAGGTGTTTCGGCGCATATGTCGCGAGTGAATTTCCGACGTATCATTGGATTCATTGGGTGAGTTTTATCCCTGACGGCTCAATTGGTTGTGGAACACGTACTAACGAAACTAGGTTGGTCCCCTGGCTGCAGCAGTGGCGCATGGGCTGGTCTATTTCGTTGATCCCCTCTGGAAGGATCCTCGCACGGAGTAAATATCTTTTCAAATTTATGGTTACGGAATGTGGGATTGTATATAGAAGTGACGGATTTGTACAAAGTGTATTATATAAACCTGTGAATACTGCCAAGAAGGCTTTCCGAACATCTGCCATGTTGAAGTGACAGATGCGATGACCCATTCTGACTACATACTTGCTGTGCTGTTGTAGGAAACGTATCATCAAAGACGAGCACAGCAGCCCTTTCCATTAACCGCAGACAAGCGACAATAACACGAAGTCGAGATCGGCACATCAGCCGACCCCAACGCAATATCCAATTGCACCTGGACAACACGACCCTCATCCAGCTTCCCAGAAGCCATCAGACACTCACGCAGCCCATGCAACCCCCACACGTTATTCAACCGGCCCTTACGCCGCGGAAACCCCTGCGCCATGCCCAGGTCCTCCCGAAAGACCTGCTCCGCCTCGGGGACCCGCTTCTGCTCCAGCAGCAACCCACCTAGGGCATGCCGCACGGGCTGCATCCAGGCCGGCGGGTCACAGTACGCCAGGCCATCTTCTAGCTCGATCGCCCGACGCAGCGTTGCAAAAGCCAACTGAATATTCCCCTTGCGGTACTCCAACTCACCTGCTAACATCAAAGATGCGACGGCAAGGAAATCGACCTGCCGAACAGGCAAATTATTTATCCGGGATCTCGGCACCCGCTTGCGCGCCTCCTCGAACTCCTGCCGGGCGACTTCTGCCTCCTGGATACGTCCTAGGGCGCTGAAGGCGAGGCCCCTGGCGTACAGGATGTTAGCTGTCTTGCAGCAGTATAAGGCTCGGTCTTGTGGTGCTGGTAGTTCTAACTGTAGAATTTCTCCCCAGCGACCGAACCGCACGAGGACGTGGGCATGACTACCTAGAAAGCTCTCCGTCCAGTCTGCCATTGGGGGAGATTTAGTAGCCAGTAACTTCGCATCGACCACCTCGTCCAATTTATCCGCAGCCAACATGGCCTCTCGCGACCGGCCAGACATCAGAGCGCAGTACAGCTTCGTGACAATGTTATGCACCCGATAGGCCACGTATAGCGGAGATGCATCCAATGTGGCGAAGAACATATCATCGCCTGCAATAGCATCATCACTGGAATCAATCGCCCGGCGATAGTCCCCAACAGCCATATCAATGTGCGCAGGCATGTGCACCATATGCGACGCATCCGGGATCATACGACGCAGTCTGTCTGCAGCAGGCAGGGCCACCTCCGGAGTAGCCGACATTTCCATGAGATGAATATACAGATGGCATAGGGCAGGATGCTCTCGACCCTCTGGACTTGTCATTGCACTATCGATTGCCGCCTTCGCCTCGAGAGTATGAGAGCTGCTGGCTTCACCTGTGTTCATATCCCACAGCTCGCGCGGATTAACGCAGATAAGCGCCTCGATGAACAACGATGCCACGTCGAGATCATCTGGGTAGGCTTTATACACGACGCGCATGGCATCTGCATATGCCTGATTGTACTGTCTCATCTCTGTAGGAGCGGGGATGTTATTTGGGGTAGGGAACCGAGTAGCGATGGCTTTGAGCAGCATGTGGAAGAGTGGGGATGCATGCGTAGCATGTTTTTGAGCGGCATTGAGCGCATCCCATGCCTTTTGCACCGTGGCTATGAGACTAGGGATGTCGAAGAAGCCCCAGGCTATATTGTAGCTCGGTCCGATAGCGTATGCGATGCCCCAGTATGCCAGTGCGCAAGTGGGGTCGCATTCGACAGCTCGTTCGAAGCATCGTGCTGCTTCGCCGTGATTGAAGGAATAGGACCAGAGTAGACCGCGGTCGAACCATCGTTGGGCAGCTGGGGAGGATGTGGCGATGGGTCGGTGGTAGGAACCAAGGTCGAAGTTTGGGTAGTCATCTACCTGGGGCGAACGAGTTTCGTTTCTGGGAATTGTCAGTGCGAGACTGTTGTGATGGTATAGGCTCACTTGTTCATCGTAAGTGTTGTTTTGGGTAGGTGTTGTGGATGACAGCCGTGAGACAGCAGAATGACAGAAATCGGAGGATTCTAAACCACTTCGGTAGGTGGAGATGCATTATGGCTCCTGAGGGGTTGTTGAGATACTGGGTAGGTAGGGGGTAGTGGGATGGGACACATAAAATCTGCCAGGCACCCAGATTGGATGTTATACGTCGTCTAGATTTTGTCTTATAGGCTGCAAGGTTGGTTTAATACCTCCTTGTGTCACATAACTGGTTGTTAATCAACCCCTTGCGCTTGGTACTTATAGCCGTCCGTTCGATGGGACTATGTCTTGGATACCATTCTCTTTTATCAGATGTCCCAACAACATGCCAGGGAAGTTAGAGCATTTCATTAACTGTGTAAAGATGAAGTTGCAGCTTGAATCATAAGGTATACAGGTATCACACTAGAGGTAAGATCAACGCAGCATGACACAAGTCTCATAAGCAGAATAATGCTACTAGTATAAACCCCTAGATGTTCTGTTGAAAAAGTGAGAGCATCATCAAGCCAGTTCGCACTCAACAAGGCTCTCCACGCCCCTCCGCACAGTCCATATCTTGGTAATCTTGAGACCGGCGGATTCCACCAGCGCCCGCCACTGCTTCTCCGTGCGTTCAGTCGACGCAAAGTCCGCCATCATGATAATGTCCAGACTGGTAGTTTCCCAGTATGCATTCGTGCTGGGGATAACATTCTCATTTAGCAAAAGCTTGCTGTGCCCCCGCTTCATAGCAGGAATAACATTAGCCAATATCCGACGACAGTCATCGTCTGTCCAGTCATGCAAAACAGAGTGCATGTAATACGCACGGGCGCCTGCATAAATGTTAGCCATTGCCTTAAATGGCTTTATACAGCACTTACCCTTGATCGGTTGTTCTGTAAAGAAGTCATGTGTCATGAGCTCAATAGCCGGATCCAGGTTCATGCTTCTGGCCTGTTCCACAACCTTAGGTAGATCTTGAAGAATAAGCCGACCTGACACCTGTGGCCATTTGCGGCGGAACTCTGACAGATCGTGTCCCAAGCTTCCCCCCATATCGACAAGCAAGGCGTCATGATGACTGATATTTGCCTCGGCAACTAGCGACAACACCGGATAGAAGCCGACATCCATCCAGCTCGGTCGTCCCTGGTGGTATACGGACATGTGATTGTTAAATTGGACGGCATGGATAGGGTTCTCTGTGAGGAAATCGAAAAAGTGGAGCGGTGTCCTGAACCCACGCTGAAAGGCGCAATCTTTCCCGTCGCTGGGGTTTCGGTAGCCCATTTTCTTGAGCTGGGCGGGAAGGGCTAGGACGCCATCAGTGATGCAACCAGTCCTAGGCCCAGTTAATAGCTAACATAGCCAGGACGTGAGTGTAGCTTACATGCAAGGATAAGAATCACTGTATCTATTGCACATCATTGACATGGAAAATCCCGTGCGACGGTATTCATGAGGACCAGTCTCCGTGATCACACCCATGGCCGCGAGATGCTTCAAGATGCGGGCTAAGAAGTTAACTTCCATAAATATATAAATATGATACCAGCGTGGTTACTTACCAAGCATCGTTGGGTCGGCACCGGTAGCTGCGGCAAGTTGGCCAGATGTCTTCGGTTTGTCGTTCTGCGATAGGGCAGTGAAAAGCCCCAGATCGACGCCCGTCTCCAAGGCTGCATAGAGTGTGCTCTGCCGTGCCCCTTAGTATGCTTTCACTTTTGCTTAGCTAGTAGTTATGGCTCACCTGGGACCAGCAGTGTCGGATGATGGCTTCTCGAGGAGTCTCAAGAGCGTAGACCAATGATCGCGCTGCATCGAGAATCTTCGTTCGCTCGTTCTCATCATTCTCTGTGAGGTAAGCCTCACCATGCAATGCTATGCGCTTTAGAAGAGTGGGGACCTCCTCAGGGGCATTTGGAGATATGGCAATGTTGTCATCGACAAAGGCCTGCTGTGCATAATCGTCCATCCTGCCGTTTGGCTGGCAGCAGCTGTTGCCATTGGGGCTGCCCTCTGCTGCACTTATCATGGTGGCTTATAATGTATATTGGACAATGGTTAGACAAATGAAGGGGAATCTGTGAACGACAGGTCATATCGCGGACGACGGCTCTGTTATAACAATAGTGGTTGGCCCTATGAACCATAACTTGGTGCCGTGGCCTATCGGAAGGTACAATAATGGACAAGGCTTGAAACCTGAAAGGATGGTCAAGGTGGGAGAAACTATCCCAAAAGAGTATTTCATGGCCGCCCTTACCGTGCTCCATTCCAAGCATTACCCTACTAGTTCAGGGGCTTCACCGTTAGTACACAACGTGGCGGGAAAGTACCGACAGGAGGATCGTGATCATCATTGGACGCGTACACGTACCTCTTTTGAAGCCATAACGGGGGGGTAATTTAGAAACTGGGTACATGGACAGATTAGGAAAGGTTCTTGCTCGGGTATCTACCGGTAGACCGTGCCCTTCTGAATCAAGTATCAACACATGGCGCCTAGACATTCATTCCTTCCATATTAAATATGAGCTGATACAGTCAATGATAAGTATAACAATGTGCGACTTAGATCGAACTTCAGGAGAGTCCACTACTGCACAGTACCTGACATATTGAGCCTTGACACGGGAGCATAACCAACTACCACAATAGCTAGGACACACCATTGCTGTTGGTCTGACTTGGCAGTTGTCCATTCAGCCGGATGGGCCCAACGGTGTGACCCAGCCTGCTGGTGTAAATTGAGAATTGGAGTCCTTAAAAGGTCCGATATTCCTTTGAGAACGAGCTAGCGATCCTTCGGCGTTTGAGTGCTCCATCCAGAACCTTTCGTGATCATACTGCCAGATTTGATAGTCTTCAAATATCTACACTTCATTCTTGATCGTTGTATCCCGGTTCATAGCTCTGGAGCAAGGGCCAGAAAAAAGTACCACCTCGCTATTGTATTACCCTTGAGAGGGACTTATGGCTGGTATATTGAATCGGACCCATCACAGTGGCTCGGGGTATAATGGTTATGTTAAGCTTCCTCTCAACGGCGTGGTGGCGGCCCCACTACCCGTCTATCAACTGACCATATGAATCCTGTCCTGCCAGCGGGACATCCAGTTTGTGACTGTTCGCCTTGTCTATCCACCAGTGGCACGGATCTACTGTAAGGCTACCAAAGTGGACGATCCAGGGCTAGCCAGACCAGCTAATCCCTGCCAGCATCAGCACCGTATTATGCCTTAGCCGCCACACGGGATTTGTGACCTCGCTGGCTCACCTTTAATCGAGAGAATTATTGGCTACCAATGCCAAAGAACGAAACGATTAATACACGAAAGGAGAGGTTACTGGAAGTAAGGGATGTCTATCAGTCATCGCAATTCCCTTTCAAGGAGAATTTGATGTCACCCGCTCATCGAACAGTTCGCCAAATGAAGGTGGAGGCTGAAATCCTTCGCTTGTCGGAATAATACTGTCTGCGTTTCCCTTGCTTGCCCTGCAGGTGACCGTAAATATCTGGATTCTTATTCATGCTACGTGTTCCTCGTTCGATTGTGTGTCACGTCACGAAATCCTGTGCTACACGCAACAATGGCTTCGTCAGAAGATGGAAATGCCAGCGACAATAAAGGTCCGATGATCCTATCGGTCCTATGGGCACTGACAGGTCTCACATCCGTCCTTGTCATAGCGCGCATGTACATCAGGACAAGTCTTTTGCACAACCTCGGACCGGACGACTGGCTGATCACAGCGTCGTTGGTATGTATGTACCATGCGAAGGATACAACACTAACTTCAACAGGTGATGGGAGTCGTCTACTGTGCCATCACGACAATAAACGTGGATATGGGATATGGGAAGCATGCATGGCTATTGAGCGAAAGAACTGTGGAACGTGCCACATTCCTCAATTGCTTGAGCTTTCTTTCCGGGATAATCTCATTCGCGATTCCGAAGCTGGCGGTGACTGCGATGCTCAATCGGATCCTCAACCCAAGTATGACTCAGCGCATATGTCTATGGACATTGACTGGATTCGCTGCGGTTGTGTCAGGGATATGCATCATTGTGCTGTTCACGATGTGCGACCCGCCCGAGGCGTTGTGGAAGACACATCTGGTGACAGAAGGCAAGGCAACTTGCAAAGACGTCTGGATCTTGATCGACTACGCAATATTCACTGGAGGTTGGTTCATGCGACCATTGATGTTTGGTAACAACTGACAACCCAGCCCTATCCGCGTTTGTCGATCTGATGCTGGCCGTCTATCCGAGCACGGTGCTGATGAAACTCCACATGTCGTTGCGCAAACGGCTCGCGTTGTGCGCAGCCTTAGGTCTGGGCTCGGTGTAAGTATATGCATATTCATGAGGAATCAGCGACTAACCTAGCAGTGCTTCCGCAATGGCCATCGTCAAGTGTACACAGTTAAAGGGGTTAGCCGATAAAACCGACTACACCTGTGAGCATACCCATCACCAACCAAAGAGAAATACTGACATCAACAGACGGCACCGCCGAACTCGTCATGTGGACAAAGTAAGACCATCTCTACGACATCCTCACAAATCTACAATACGATAATAAACACAGACCTAAATGTAGCATCGAGTCCAACGTCGTCATAATCGCCTCCTGCACCCCGACCCTCCAGCCCGTTCTCGAACTTATCCTCGGTAAACGCACCACAAGCTCCTACAACAACAGTCGCAACCGCTACAAGGGGAGTTCACAACTGCCCGATTCCTCCTACGACCATAGCAAGCTGTCCAAGCCACGAAAGCCCGACTACGAGGTCACAACGGCGGGAAGTCAGGAGAGCATTCTCCGAGAGGAAACCAATGGGCGCATTGAAAGTCATCCGATGGGAGCGATTCGACGGACGGATAATGTAACCGTGGAATATGAGAGTCGGTCGAGAGAGGATCCCGAGGAGCCACGGGTGTCGTGGTAGTTTCTTATCGCTCCATCTTTTTGTATACTACTATCTTAAAAGCGTTTTCTCTCACTTCTATCCTTATCCGATCATGTGGATATATTGGTTGGTTGCGTTGTTGACCTGCTCGACACAATGAACTAACACCATCAAATCACAATGTCAGTTAATTAGCGACAAGAAAAACAGAGAATATAGCATTTCAATATATTAAAGCATTCAAAGAGACAAAGCAAGTCAAGCCCCTGCGATTCGATCTATCAACTACCACAATCAAACTCTGAACACCAATCAACCATCCCGTGTATAACTCACGGACCCGAAGCCACGCCACAACAAAACCAAAGCCCCACCTTCAATCTCACCACATTCACACAAACGAAACAAGCAATAACATAGAAAATAACTTCTTATTATATACCCATGCTGCGCAGTATCCGATCCACGGCGTATTCATTCCCTGGAATAGAAACCTGGACACCTGATGGACAGGTACTAGTTCTACTCCATAGTGGGCCCGGAACGGCCATCCGTCCAATAGTGCCATGTGGAATAGATTGAGTCCGTTGTGCTATGCTATATGAGGAAGTAGTTTGTTTCTGAGGTTAAGACATCCTAAGAGTCGAATGTCAATCGAAATTTATGTTCCCCATATATCGCTCGGTCATATTATCAATACACAATGATATTTGTGGATTTATTGCAAAGTTTTGTAAGTGGAAATTATAAATGGGGGGCTTCTTTGTTTGCCAAGTCAGTCGTCTAGGGCACTGTTTGGTCATGTGTAGATGTATGCTTTAAGTTTCACCTTATCTGTTCCTATTCCTGGGTAGTGTACAAAGTTCTGGAGAAAATATTGCCACTGCATACTGTGTGGACTGGTATCTGACAAGAAGTAAGTTGAGCCCGAGAAGGATTCTACACACCGTCTCGAGATGAATCCTTCGGGATTTTCTCGGTATCGGGCATTTCCAAAGCACAGGTAGATTTGACTACTATATCTTTTGGCTTCCTTCACTACTAGCACCCAGCATTGACCATTTGTGGGGTACATTGGGTTCTCATTCTACATCCATCATGCCATGTACCTAGTGCAACCCGAATAAATAATCTATTTCCCAGCCATAATCCGATACCTCTCCGCGGTGGCCCTCCTCATCCGCTTGCCCCAAACCACCATGGGAATAATGGTCAAGGTGATGGCCAAACTAATAAATCCACATGCAATAAACATGTTCTGCGCGCCCGATCGGTCTAGCCAAGGACTTATTGCGAACGGGATGCCGATGCTGATGGCATTGCGCATGAAGGCGACTCCTGTGAAGGCGTCTCCAGTAATCTGTTTAAGAAAAACTCGTGAGAAGGTGTCTCATAGTAAGGTAGTGGCAGTGTGATATACTCACGTCACGGTAGGAGTCAATAACCAACGTCAGTGATGCATCGCTGATACTGCCTAGTCCGAAGCCGAACAGAGCACCACCAATACTGGGATATATCCAGTGCATTCCCTGGTCGGGGCCCGTTAGCTTGTCTTTTAACGATTATAAGCGACGGTGTGAGGCTTACCCGTGCAATCGTGACTCCAAACATTATCAACCCCCCAGCCATTGCAAAGGCAGGGAAATGAAGAATATACAAGCGCATCTCCGGTTCATAGTATCCTTTGTTGCGCTTTGAAAAGAACAATATAGACCAGTCGCCGAGGAAGCCACCATAGACAGACCCGATGAGGTTCCCGATAAACGGACCAACACTCATGAAGCCGATTTGCTCGGAGGTGAAGAGATACGGTGGCAAAGGGAATACCAAGCTGAGGGTGGAGGATAGAATAGTTAACCAGACCACGCCAAAGGCATACTGCAAGGCACAGAAAAGGACAGCAGGAAAGGCAGCGACGACGTAGAAGGGACGGTAGAAATATGGCCAAATGGACTCGGGGGAGTAGGTTATCAAGGCAAATCGCTGTCTCCATGTTCTCATTGGGATCCTATAGTCTAGCTCGTGGTGATCTGCTGGTATTGGACTCGTTTCGGCTCGACTGGCAGAACACTCAATATCCCGTTTGCGATCGGCTTTTATGTTGTCGACTGTATGTTCGCAAGATTCGTCGACGCCGGGGATGACTGGTGTATACTTTGTTTCCTCGTAGAAAAGCACAAATAAGACAAATAGAACGGCGTTAGTGATACCAAGTGCTTGGTATGATGCTCGCCAGCCTTGATTTGTGGCTTGAGTCCCGGCCGCCATAGGAGTGAGAAAGCTCTGTCAATAAATGAGTGAGCGTGTCATGAGCAGGCACATAAGAATTATTTCTCGGGAGGTTTGACATACACCTATCATGACCATAGTCATATACAAACCATTCATCCCCCCACGATGGTGCACGAAAAAGAGGTCGGAAATCTGTAGGGGTCAGTAAAGGATGATTCAGCAGAAGGGGTATCACTACCGTAATCTGCACGATTGATTCATTTGTTGCTCCAGCAAGCCCCTGTAGCAAGTTAGTAGCATACAATTCCGCAAGAGTATGCAACTTCGACGTCCAAAAAGAAGTTGCCAACATGAGGGCCGTCGAAACGAGATACACGGGTCTTCGGCCGAACTTCTTCGCTAGAGGAATGAAGAACACGCAGCCGACGGCAAGGCCAACGAAGTTCACAGACATGGCGCGGTTCAGCTGGGCATATGTCACATCGAGATCTACTACCATCAATTGCCAGAAAATTGCCTGGATCGAAAGCCTATCGACCACCATTAGCACAGAGCCATCTGTGAACGGAAGAAGTAACTAACGCTGTAAATATGAGTGCCGTCACAGCGAGAACGAGGGTAAAGTTGCATATTTTCCGCGCTGTACTCCAATTCTGCAATCGTCAGTGGTCTCGGATGCCACCAAACGCGGGATACCGACCAACGGTTCATTGGGATCGCTGGACGGGACAGGATTTAGCATAACCTGGCGGTTGCCATGTGCTCTTTCATCTTCGTCTGCTTAATGGTGAGATTAATTTGCGATGACTTCAGCTAGCCTTTTCATACCTTGGATCAGACGGAATGTCCCAGGTGGCAGATTGTCGTGTGGGTCAGGAAATAGTGGGTCGCAGGGCTGATTCTGTGCCATTAAGACTTGCTACCAAGCGAACACGGTGATTTAGGACAAAGATATTGACCAGTCAAGGGATAAACTGGGTCATTCGCTGTGATATCAAACAATCAAGATGTAAGGACGTTCAGGGGAGTCATAACGCTATATACTATCCTGTGTATCAAAGTCGGAGCACCGACACGTACACCATACAGATAGCTCATGTCTATCAAGTGGTAGGAAGTCAATTACTTGGTATCAAGCCAAATGCGGGGGTATGCACCCAGTCGAGATAAGAATTGGCGCCAAATGGAGCCGATCTGCCATCTGCTGAAGGATGAGACCAGTGCGGGATGGGGTCGACCTGCCTGAAAAGGAATGATGAATGCATATCCGCATACCGCACTCGGGGAACAAGACAGGCTGATGTGCGTGATCCCCACGACATCATTCGTCCAGCTGGCCGAGCAGTTAGCGAACAGCCTCTTGTGATGTTATCAATATGCATCAGATCAAACTTGGATCCAAAACAAAAGAAGCAGGTTGACCCTGCAATCTAGTCACAGGCGTCTCTCCTCGGCACCAGGACATTTATCATCCCTACATTGAACCTGAAGTATACTTCGTTGGCAACCTCCAAGCGACGATAAGAATAGTTTAACACCTGCGACTGATATGAAGGGTATCAACCATCGATCGCAATGACCGCCAATCAAACGTTGCGACTCTTCCGTGTCCACGACGGTACGTCCAACCCAATCACCTCCTCGGAGCCTTTACTGAAACATATCGTCATAAAGAACGAAATTCAATAAGTGCAGTTGCAAATACAATTACTACTTCTTTTGCTCAAGATCCTCTGATCACATGGTTACGCCCTCGAGCTCCGGCCTGGTCGAAATATAACATCGAAATATGCAACTGGCAATATCGTCGGGTCCAGCGAGCTGTTGCAGAGGGCATAGTTCTGCAATCGGGACCGATTTACCAGATAGCCCGTTGCTTTCCTCCTAGACCTTCTGAACCGTGCCTTGTTGAACCCAACGTGAAAGGTTCAATCGCCAAGGAGAGCTGGAGCGAGGATGGCGATGAGGATAAGGATTCAGGAGTTGTGGCCCTCTTATTTCCTCCTCGAAGGCATCAAAAATGGACTTTAGAAAAACTGGTGCTTCAATTCAAGCTGGTTTTCCTCGATATCTTTTGCGCCCGTCGGGAAAGTGGTACCAATGTACAGGTATGCTCCGAAAGCCGATCTGACAGCATGGACGAAATATAACGATTGAGTTTTTCAGAGACTAGAGATCATGATGAAGAGCCATGACGACACAATTGCTCGTATAAAGAAGCTGCAGCGGCTGTCCGATCTATGGTATTTGGAGGTTGTGGCTGTTCATCCCTCTCTCCAGGGTCGCAGCCTCGGCAAGAAAGCGATGACATGGGTGTTGGACCATATCAAGCACGAACCAATCTTACTAGAGTGTACAAGTGAGAGTAACATCTCGTTCTACCAAAAACTGGGGTTCGAAGTTGTTGAAGAAGTCGAGTTGATGGAGGGTGGTGAAGCAGTCAAGTTGTGGTTCATGCTACGGCAAGTTTCTAAAAGCGAACACAGTAAATAGCAAAATGAAAATGGCGAAACCACATCAGAATAGGCCAAGTTCTATTCCTCGTGACTGCGCAATCTGATGTATATTGATAGTGTTTTGAGGATAGGTCCAGTACTCTTCCAGTAACTCCAGAAGTAGTCGATATTGCTTGTTCCAGAAAGGTCCCTCTGCGATTGCCACCAGGATCCTCCGGATAAATTCTCTTAAGTCGGGGTCCTTATTCAATGCATCCGTTTGAAGGCCAGCGACGAAGACAGGATAAGGAATGGCATTTATGATTAGTGTAACCTTTCCCTCTGCTTCTGAGGACGCTCGATATATAGCGTCGACGCAGCTGAGAAGTCGCATGATGATCACCGCCGTTGTTGGAAGTGCTGATTGTCTTTGGCTTCGTCCTCGCTGTGCTGGGTTATCGTCCAGTTCAAAAGGCAGTCGCATTGCACCATGTCGGATCACCAACATCCCAGCCAGTCGATATGCTTCCCACAGCTGGCACTGCATAAAGCACCCTCTGGAACCGGGCCAATCCCAGAAATCTTGTTCTGTTGCGCCCTGATAAATACAAGAGAAAATGTCAACCAAGGATCGCGGTAAACCACTCATGACCTCCACATCATACTGTTCAGATGGGTCCGGCATCGATTGATTGCGACAGTACTGCCGCCAGAAACCTAGATATGGGTGTTTTCTACCTATCGCGAATGTCGGGAGATCCATGATTCCCATTACCTCTAACAAATGGGCCCGAAAGGGAGAGACCTGATCATGCGACCGTATCACACTGTGTGACTGTAGGATGTTATACATCCCTCGGAGATGCATAGTCCACGGTATCCCTTGCATAATCTATATTCACATATCAGCTAACTAGTTTGATAACTTAGGAGATAGGGATGGAGAAATATGAGACGTACGCCGATAGTACACAACAGCAATCCAGCAGTTAGTGTACCATCCTCTAAATAGGCTTCGCTCTGATCTAACTCGCTACGGAATTTGTTCAGGGCCGCGTCAAAGTACTCGAAGAATTCAGACTTCAAATCCGGACGTATAGAGACCTGTAGTGTGATGCATATTTGATACAGCGCTTCCGATTGTTGACACAGTCCTGGTAGTCGTACTTTGAGTGGTATCTCACCGTCGTGCATAGTCGTGGAGTGAAGGACATTGATGCCAGATGAGAGGACTATCGATATTGATCAATATCACAATCAGTAGTAAACATCTATCAGACTCACAGTCACTGAACAATTCTGCATAGCGATTCGTCTTCCAAGTCTCGGATAGTAACGGGCTGAGTAGCAACTCTAGTTCAGTGGAGTCAACAATCATCACGACGAGACGAGAAGCCACTACTACCTACCCTCAGTTCCCTCTGCTGAGATGTCAGATCCAGAAGATTTCCGCACTTGATCAGCTACCTGCAACTGCCGCTTCCTCTCCCGAAGCAGATCTCTCTGTCGTCCTTGAAGCCTCGGCGGAATTGACGACTCGGCAGGCGCATCGGCGCCGGTAAATCTCCCTCGCGAGGCAATTCCGGTTCCCCAGCGGAGACGAACATCATAACCCTCACATGCCACTCCGCGTTGAGCACAAACCTGACATGTCGGGCGCGCACGATCACACTTTCGACGGCGGGCTTTGCAGGTCCAGCTAGACGGTAAATCAGTTTCATGGAAAGTGGAGAAAAGTAAAAGATCGGGAGTGACCCTACCATCCCTGGTGGGTTCGGCGACCGGGGGTCGACATTCCTATTTTGAGTGGTGATCGGATAGAGATGAAGAACCTCGCATGCGAGCAGCGGATGGGAATTAGCTTTTAGCACAGATGCGGGGAAGATAACAGGACAGGAATCCACACTTGTTTTTGATTAGGTTTGAGGGTCGACCTGCCAATTTGAGTGTAGCCTGGAGATAGCTAACGTGGGAGCTACCGTCCGGGGTCAGATAAGAAAAGCCGAGGTTCGAATATGCCTATAGAAGCTATCTCAGGTCCCTATGACAGACTGCATATACTATACTCAATCAACTGGCCCTGTAATATTATTCGGCATTAATTCTCATCTTCTCATCTTCTCAGCAAGGGCCAACGGGTCAACTGGTCAACATGTCTTTCCAAATTCCTACCACAAAATGCACGACAGAAATTCCCACCCTCGGCCAACTTGAGGGTTTTCAATTTGCGAATGGTGCCCAACAATACTGTGGAATACCATATGCTGACCTGCCCAAGCGCTGGACAAGATCAACACTCAAGACTTCTTGGACAGGCTCTAAACATGATGGAACCAAAATGGGGTAAACTTACCTACATCTCAATCTCGCTGTAGACAGCCTAACGGATCTGTAGAAATGACTGTCCTCGGCCCTACTCCGAAGGAGACGACAGCGATGACCTCGTTCCAGTGCCACCACCTGCTCACTTTCCGGATACTCCAAAAACAGACGAACTAACTGGGCTTGTGATGAACATCGTAATTCCATTCGCCCCAGCCTCCGACAGGCGAAGTCTTCCCGTCATGGTATACGTCCATGGAGGCTCCCTACTCTATGGAGGCGCGAATCTCCCCATCTTCGACGCTGTGAATCTCGTTTCACAGAGTATTGAGATGGGGAAGCCAATAATATGTGTGAATTTCAATTATCGCGTCGGACTCGGAGGCTTCCTCGCAAGCGAAGCCATACGCCGTGAGTTGCAAGATGATGGGTTTCAGGGCTGTGGGAACTTCGGCTTCACCGATCAGAAAGTTGCATTCGACTGGGTTCAACGGTATATCGCGACACTCGGCGGAGATCCCGATAATGTCACTGCAGTAGGGGAGTCTGCTGGTGGGATATCGATCAGTAACCAGCTTGCAGCTACTCATCCACCGAGATTCCGGCGCGCCGTCTGTATGTCAGGACTTTCTGTCTCCATTCCTCCTTGGACTATCGAGCAACATGAGGCTCTCTTCCGGGCAGTTTGTCGGTATTTCAAGATAGACGCTTCACAATCCGATGTATTGGATCGACTCCGACAGATTCCGCAGCAGAAAATGGCGAATTCGACCCCGGCCATCCAAGGCGTTCTTTCAGGAACTGGGAACCCTTGTCTCGATGAATGGTTTTATCAGACCGATCCCTGCGAGATACAGAAGGCACCAACATGGCTGGAGGCCTTGATGATTGGGGATACATACCACGAGGGGGTCATTTTCCATCTTAATCTTCTCGACGACGATTTTGCTTCCATTCGCCGAACATTGTTAGATCATATCCAAAATGACGATGAGACAGACCAAATTCTGAGGGAATATGACATACACCACGCGCTTCCGCATGACATGCTTCTCGGGGGCGTGGAACACATGTGCGGAGACGCGGTTTTCAAGATTCCCAACTACGCCACTGCGCTAGAAAACACTACGCTTCGCGATAAAGGTGGTCTATTCCTGTACCATTTTGATCAGCGTTCTCGCCTTAAGAATCCGCTGGAGGGGACGGCATACCATGCCCATGAGCTCTTGTATCTTTACAAAAACCTCGAGACAGAGATGGATGAGAGCGAAAGAGGACTGGCGGAAGGGTTTGCTACTGCTTGGATTAGATTCTGCAATGGAGAGGCACCATGGTCAGCACGCAAGGGAGAGTGGAAAGTATGGGGACCAGGTAGTGTTCAGTCTGTCAAGAACGAGGAAGAAGATGAAGAGACCAGATCATATCAACGGATGAA